CTAGTTTCTCAAGAGGCAAGGATCCATTACATAATGAATGAAAGGGGATGACTGATAAACCAGTATAAACAGAATGTATACAGGTGACAGTAAAGTAGCCTTATGAAAGCAGACAAATTTCCTGCATGTTTAGGTCATGTGCTTAATTTGCATTTTGCATGGGGGCGATATACTTCATCAAATGGATGGAAAAACTATTCCAACAATCTACGCAGAGAGATGGAAAACTTTGGAGAGAAAAAAAGGCAACTGGAAATAAGATATGTTTAAAATGCAATCCACATTTACGTTCTAGCCAGTTAAAGCTAAACATTTGCGAATTTTAATATTTTTCGAAATCTAATTACTTTGCAAACCGCCTGACTCTGAATCCAACAACCCTGAATTGAAATGGGCCATTAAAAGGCAGGTGGCTAAATTAGAATCAGAGAATTAAGATATTGAACTGTTTGATTCCATGCAGTTGGAAACTGTCACGTTTCATCCTTTTGGCAAACAACTTCTAAGGAAGACCGCCATTTTTCATCTTCAGTTAATTTACTGCTGACTGTTTTCTCGTGGTAAGTTGTGATTTTTATAGTTTATAAGCTTTTCAAAGAATGAGTTACCTGCTACTGTTTCCAACACATCCTTAAAAAACAACATTCCTGCAGTTAAATTTCAAGGAAATATAAATATAACAATAAAATAGGATTTATTCCAGTCTTCATTCCTATCAGCTTTGCGGGTTTGTCGTATCTCTGCCAAGTGAGATATCTCTTGTAGGAATTCGCATTCATTGCACAAGACTCCAACTGAGTAGTTATTCCGTCTGTCCAAGAAACTAAGAATAAGTACAGCCAAAATCGATTGTGTCTTGAGGTTGAAATTAATTAAATAAGAACTACTTTCGCTCGGATTAGATACTTAAAATTTCTATCAATTACGATATTCCTTCTTGTCTTTGCCCCATTTGCGGTACACAGAGTAAGAGTCAGTCAGAATAAGTTCTACAAAGCCTGTAGGATCTCTACCATAGCCACAGGGCTCCACTGACGCGGAAAAGCTGATGAAAATTGAGAATGAAGTAAATATTTTGATTTAAATAACATCTAATTGTTAATTCTATGAAATTTTCGAGAACGATAATGGATAAAACTTAACCCACTGTTTTTGTCACGGTTTAAACTTATAGAAAAAACATTACGACAACTGCTCTCATCGAAAAATGAGGGTTTGATAAGAGGTGTGGACTTCGAGCTAATAACAAATCGTGTCAGCTTTTCTGTTCTAAAGGAAACTTTAGAGCGTTGACTATAATTTCAAATACTTGTAATACTAATGATAATTCGTTACAAGTCGTCATGACTAAAGATTCGATATTCGTTATTTGGCTTTTGTGGGTGCTGCTTTTAAAATTCACGCAACATAGTATCAATTAGCTTGTTAGCATTTTATCACTTTAGCTTTAGAAATTCACGCGGGTCATGCGGTCTAGCCGAAAGAACAAAGCAATAAAAAGACAGCAACAACTTTCCAGATCGAAAAGATTTTCAACTTTGACCCAAAAAATGAAGATAGGACACGCTATATTTCTTGATAGGATCTACAAACATAAATTTACAACAAAAACCAAAGCCAGGTTGGGAATGTTTATTACGGCAGTTCTATTTATGTTATTGTGAATGCACGCACATGCAAATGCACGCACATTAAGAATTTGTTCACGCTTAGCATGCGTATATCCACGGATGCACGCGGAAAGTTTAGAGAGCACGAAAAATGCGTAAGAGTAGCTCGAGGCGCAGCCGAGGGCAACTCTAGCTTTCTGAGTGCTCTCCAAACTTCTCAAGTGCATCCATAACTCGATATACGCACAGCTAAAAGCATGAGCAAATTCTTTTATAACATAGCGACAACAAGGATCTGCGCGAAGAAGCCTTTTATTGTGATAGAGTGCAAAATTCTCCCAACACACACAAAAGTATTCTATACTTTGGTTTCAGCTGGAACATTTGACCCAATTAAACGATAACTGTGAATGAAAAGCTCAAAATTTACAGGGAAAATGGAGAAAATCAAAGCCAAACGAACTCTAAAGCCAGGTAAAAAAAAATGCTCACACGGGCGTGCATAAATAAAGATTTTGTTCATAGCGGCTCAATAGGACTTATATAGGGCAAGCACGCGCGCTTTGTTATAAAGAAAAATACATATTGGTTCCAAACGTGAAGCGGAAATTTGCTCTTGCAAAGTTTCTTAGCGGAGACATTTCATAAGGGGACGATTTGGAGTTCAATCAATTGCGAGTACTTGAAAATGATTTGTATACCTGACTATGAGGAGATCGGCCTATCTCTTCCCATCGATCTTAAAAGGATGAAGTCAATTATGCTGAAATAGATACAAACCGACTAAAGTATGACAGAGAATTGATGAATGAATAATTTTTATGCGGTCATCCCAAGCAATAAAAAAGAACAAAAATTTGAAGGTTCTTCAAGCCCTGTGAGGGAAAAACATAAGCTTTTTCGTAACATAACTTCACTTATCAATGACGTTGAAAGCTGAAATGAGGGGACCATTAGCAGTTTTGTTTAGCCGGAATATTCATTTTGATTTCTGGTAATGAAAAAATCAATAAAGTATATGTGAAATAGAAAGAGTGAGTCAATTTGATAGGATGTTTTATTAATAATGCTTTTAAGTTCCTCTTGGAAACGTTTGTTTTTGTTTTTTATCGGAATAACGTTTCTAGTTTCTAAGGAGTGGGCGTTAGGCAATCCTCTTTAAGATACGTGAGGATATTTTGTGATATGACCTCATGCTAACAAAAGATATTTGGCATATTGACTTTTCCATCGTCCTCGATTCCATATTAATTAAATAATTTCACAATTGCCTACGTAGAGCAGAAGTGAACTAAAAGCAGCCGAGTCTTTGTACAGAAACCCATCATAGCATCCGTGAAGAACAGGCAAGTTTGCTATCTCAAATAATATTATGTTGCTCAAATTATAAGTATTAATTTGTGAAATCGAATTGCATCTGAACAATGTAACAAACAAGGAGGGGCGAAAGATAGATTTCAATCTCATCAAACAAGTTTGCCTGAACAAGCACCTTCTCACAGAGGAATAAGATGTGTCATATCTTATTGCGATTCAGTAAATGCTTCCATAAATTTCTTGTGTATATCTGCACTCAAAATAGCCGGTGATGGAGTAAGGATAAACTGCTGAAAAGAAGACTATTTTTTCGTAGACATCGGTATTTATTATGTCCAATACATGTCACTATTCCGTCCAAATACACGCAAATATTAACGTTCTTTTCTCAAAAAATATAAATCAACATCTCTTCTTTACTTTTTCCTAATGTTCAGAGAAGCGCTTTATTTATACTTGACCAAATTAATTTTTTATCATCCCTACTAACAGATTTAATTATTAAACTTATGATTTGAATTGATCGTGTCACGAAAATATACAAATATACTTATTCGGCTACTAGCGTGTATAATTCTGATGGGTTTGTTTTGCACCGAATCTGAAAATTGAAAAAAAAAGCAATCTCTGAAAGAAGGCGCGCATAATGGTATGGCAGGTGGATAAATGACATGACTCTCGGTGACAGAGTCTATAAATAATGGCTGTAAATGCAAACTGACGGAGCAAAGTTTTGGAGACAAAGTGTCAACATAATATTTACAAGCTACATAATAGATCGCTGGTGTTTACTTCATTCGCTCGGCAACTCATTTATCTACAAGCAAGAGACATAAAGCTGAATAGGTATTACCTAAGTGAAGGATTGAAGTAAATATTACACTCAACTACCCCACTTAGACATCAACAGCGGATGAGCACGATGGTCTATTTTCCGCAGATGGAATGTTTGATAATAGGCCTGAAGTATTGAAAACAAAAAATGAACTCCCATCAGCACTAAGATGAATCTTCAGTTTCCATTGTCCTTAAGTCTAAAGATTAGTTTGGAATCAATCTTCCCAATCATTTACCTTTTTTATATTGGTATTTGTTGGAGTCTGAAATATAGCAGAAACTATACTTCCAAACTGACATTAAACTCCTTGATAAGGCCGATATCGATCCTTTAAAGAAAAAAAAGTTACTTAGTTAGTATGAGCGGTTTAAAAACGTAGTGCGTGCGTTGGAAAATATTTTGTTTCTAAATTTTAGATTTTATGACGAGAAAATCACGTTCGTGAAGGGAGTGTAAGAAATTCTGATAACTTTGTTTTTCAATTTATATCAAAATTATCATGTTGTTCTAATTAAGATGAGAGAAAAGTCTTGATTTCTAAGGGAAAGTCAAAAAGGAAAGCAAGTCAGCTTAATCAAGGCTTTTGATTGGTTGTTCCATGTTAAACCTTAATAAAAACAGGATAAACCAGTCATCATCGATAAAAGAAATCCGTTTGAAAGCATTTTAACGATCATTTTAAAATGATTATCACTATGATCAATTAAAATGCATGAGGAATGGTAAGAACTAAGGTATAATCATTACTAACAAGCTGTTTTATGAGTTTCTATCAGGAACATTGTTAGTGAAGAATTTTTCCTTCCCAAGCCAAGAGTATTCTATATCTTCAAGCTGGTTATTTTATTGTCATATTTCTTTTTCGCTATTTACTGATACTTCTTTAGTCTTTCCTTTCTAATCTTTTCGTTAAGAACGTAAGCGAATGACATTAAGGAAGGGGGTAGAAAAAAAAAGATTACTTTGGGTTAAAAATTGAAGAGTAACCTTCAGTTAAAATCCATCATAAATAAAAGTTGTTCCCTCTTAAAACTCATAAATGTAAGCCGCTTTTAGCTTCTCTTATAAAGTCTATAGAAACAAAGTCTTATCTTGTCAATTTTATTACAAGAAAACAAATTTTTTGAAGAGAAAGACTAATTTTCGTGACTTAATTTATTCAATTCTGTCCATCGCTAACTTCTTGACAAGTCATTTACTTTTCAAATGACTTCATAATAAACTCATCATGAAGCGCTAATAATTACACCCTTAGGCGGCTCAGATTTGAATGAGAAGACAAAAAAGTTTTCAGTCTCCCACAGTTTGATTTAATCGTCTTTGCTAAAAGGTTCCGGTCGACAAGTCCTGAAAACAAACCGCGAGAAAAATCAAATTGCATCACCTACATCGATCGACTGAGAAAGTTGTACGTCCCTTTCATGTTCGATACGTGGTTTTCTGAAGGTAAGTTTGATTACTTTTCTTGATTTCGTTGCATGGGTTAGTACTGTTTCTTCTAATCAGTATTAGTAATTCAGCATTGGTCCGAAACAGCTCGTTTCTATAGTTTGTGTTCAACATCACCATTCAGGGATATGATTGCATGAGAACATTGCGATAATAGTTCATGACGACGATAATGTTAACTCAGGAGTATTCCCATAGTTTAAGTCAGCCTGGTATAACGCCCTAACCACCCAATAATGAAAAAAAAAAACGTTTTGTACTGCTCATTTCTTCAATATAAGGACTACTGAGCTTATTCGTTCAGTTATGTATTGAGAGTCGAAGGGTTGTACCTGACGACCAAATCATTTTGTGTTATTAGTAAAGTGAATTTACAAGTTTAAAAAAACCTTGGAATATAGTCTAGCTACGGTTTGTCTTAATTTAAGACAAAAAGAAAAAGTATTGTTTTAATATTATCTCAACAACAATAAGCGGCTCTGTCATTCTTAATTAGAAAGAAAATATTACAAACGAAATCGGTGACGTTAATTTGCATGATCGCTCGCTACTATTTTAGTTACATCACTGGTAGAACTTGAAAGCAGTTTGTGTACAAAGGTTCACTGAAAGGGTTGAACAAACACAAGATTGAGATTACATTTCACAAAAGTTTGAGCATTGATTGCTTTCGCACTGACTGCTGTGTATAAATTCCTGTCTTCTCCATGAGGGAAATGTAAAAATTGCTCGTTTGGACAGTTCTGGCGCGTTATTTCAAGCTTTTCTCATTGATTTTCTTGTTGATCCAGCGTAATAGGTCTATCGAACTGCAGCATGTTTTATCTTTCGGATTTCAGATCATTTGGTGCTAGTTTAAGATCATACATTCAGTTACTCTTGATGTCTTTTTGATCCGACGACCTCGTCAAGATTATCCATAGACGACAATGAATGTCGAGGCTACATTCATGTGTCTCTCACTGCTACTCTTTTGGGGGTTTGGGAATAATAGCACTCAGCTGTATTTTCCAAGAAAAAGTTATTTACCTTTAAACTAACCGTATAAATTAACACAACCAAAAAGTAACTTTTGATTTAGGAATTTGCCAAATTCGTAAAAAAAAAATAGCTTAAAAGATTTTTCTGTTCCTCTTTGCCACTTTATTTTATTCATTTTAATTTGAAAATGGTCCGCCCCTATGAAGTTTATTTCGATATTTTCAAATAAACCGCACAGATTTAGCATAGAGTGGGAGTAGCAAATTTTACCAAAATTTATGAATGCCAATTCTAAGTAAATCATATCCTCCTTTATCCCTACTGCTTGATTAAAAAAAACATACCACCCTCCTTAAGTTTATTTCATAACATTTCGTTGCTATGGAATAAGAACCCTGTAATAAAAATGCAGAAAAAATATTGGGCTATATTGAATTACCCGATCAAATTATCATGTTGACTGATCATGTTATTTCAGATTAAATGTAAGAAGTATACTTGCAAGCCCGTTCGATCCTGTATTTACAGCATTGGTAGCCGTACACGGATTCAGCTCAACGTAAGTAAACCCTTTTTTTCGTACAAAAGCTTAATATTTTCATCATTTTAGCCGTGTAATTATAATAGAGCAGAACTGGAAGTTCAAGAAAATTTTCTTTCAAGATATTTAACCGACTCATGAAAGAAATTTGAGTAAATAAAAAAATATTTAAAAGGTGCGGTTTGCCAAAAGCTTTTCACGAAACCTGTTCTCCAACTTATCCCATTTTAATGAAAGACAATTCCAAGGATTTGGAGACGAGTAGGCTTCAAATATGAAGGATAAATTTAAACTCTGATTCTCCTCGCCATTGTGTTGCTCATAGCCAAAAGTCAGGTACCAAAAGTTTACTGGGTCTTGCTTTCACTATTTTCGTAAACAATTTTGATAAATCTTTCTTACATTTTCTCCCAAACGGTCCATTTTGTTGAAAGCCTTTTTTTATTACATAAAAAGTCTTTTGTTTACGATATGTTTGACTAATGCTTGAAATGGGTTCCCTACTGAAAAAGCACTGACAACAGTAGTCTTTCCATCATATTCGCGATAGATTCAACTTGAAGTCAATTTGTTCCCTGGTTCAACATTCTCCGTCTGATATGGTGTGGTTGAATGTTTGGTGTAAAACGACAGACTTTTTAGGATTTAACTTTCGATAGATTTATTCTTTTCACTCTCGCAGAGTTTGATTTGAACGAATGTTTTGGCCTTTTAACGTTCGTGTTTTTCCAGTTTGTTTTCTTAGTCTGTATGTGAACGTAATTACTAATTACAAATGACTTATCTTACTCTGTGTCAATAACATTAATTTATTTTCCTGTGTGATGCAAATGTAGTTGAGTTCCTGAAGAGCAACAAGAAAACGCTATATTTTTGTGAGATATATGCTCCAATGCTTAGATATCCTTTAAGATCTCACTTCTTACTGGGTCGTGTTGTTACATTAACTGATCCTTCATACGTGCGATCATGAATAAGGCTTTCTACGGGTAGCTTATAAACCGACCAGGCTTGTGGTAATTGAACGAGTACGCATTAATCACCTTTTTTCCAGTTGTGCATAATATCATAAATTATCAGCATGAAATTACGTCACCGCCGGTTGCACTGAGTACATGGCGCACAATTAAAATCTTTCCAGGATTTCTTTTGATTGAAAAAATGTAATATGACAAGAAATAAGCCTTTCGTCTGCACTTATAATGCCGTCCTAAATGTGACACTGAATACGCTTTCGATTTCAGGGAAAGGTTGTCACCACGGAATTGAAGCAATTGAAGTTGAATTTTTAAGGAAATTTTATTCTTTAGGTATATACATGAGTCAAAATTTTTGAAGAGGTTTTATCATTGTTTGAGACCCAAATCTACCCAGTGGAAGATATTGAGCCACAACTCTTTCGAACTGAGTTTCTACGAATAAGTCATTTTAAACGTTTATAATTGTCGTTAATTATTCCTTTAGGACGGGCCATGTAATAAGTAATTGTTTATCACTAACACTGTACAAACACCAGCTCATTGTTTCCAGTACCACTGTTCTGGGATCATAACAATAATGAAAATTTTGAAACTGCTCATTTCAAAATTACGAAATTGTCCATCTAAACATGAAAACGCCTCAAGTGGAGCTCTAGGTCTTCGTATCTCTTGTAGCATTAAAACTGCTACCGCGACGGTAAAGCAAAATAGTCAGGGTAACTGTAATTAAGTTGGATTGAAGATAACTTTGGAATTGCAAATAATATTAAAAGCTGGCAAATATGATTGGAAGTTTGCTTTAAATAATTAAAAACAACCGCTCAGCTAAGTTTTGGCAGAGATTGGCATTTTTGAAGGTCAGAACCAGGTTCTTACTTGATCAAACAGCGTTTCGAAACATAAGTGAGTCTGCGTTTCTAATACTGATCTGACAGTGTTTGTGACAAGATCTATATATCTTTGATAACACAGTAAGCTGAGTGAGGTTCTTGAAGAAAATTTCCTCTTCAAAACAGCGAGTTATGACAACGAATCGCTCGGAAAGGTAAGCTTATACATGACAAACTTTTTCCTTCAGTTCATTCGTCAAAAAAAACGAGAATTGAAAATCATTTATTACTTTAATGACTTCGGCAGGAAGAGAAAGGATGCTGCGCTAATAACAACAGTAACTATTTCATCTTCCAAGAAAGTGAGTAACGCGCAGTTCTTTTCGGTCGCAGATTTCACAAGTCTAAGTTTTGGAAGGACGGATGTTTCTTTATTTATTTTCGAAAAAAGTCATAATGATCTAAGGAAAGATAAGTTGCACAGGAGATATGAAAATTCGTAACCATCGTAAACAAATCAAAAAATTTCGGATGATTTTGAGTGCTACAATTTCATATAAACAAATCTAAAACTGATAAGGATTGGAAGAATAAAGCAAGGCATTGAAATAGGGATGGCGTGGTAGGTGTTATTTGAAAGAGCATATTAATTATTTTAGAGTTTTTCAGCATACATTGCCTGAAGTATGTTTCAAGACACTTGGCATAAATAAGAAGAGGAAATTACTTTTAGTACACCTGCTGGCAAAGAAGGATTGCAATTATGCATCTTTACAGTTACATACTTCTCAGTTAAATTTAGAAACCTGGAAATATGTTCAATTAAATGTTCTCAGCAAAGATTAATCTCCGAAGTACAACCTGTAAATAATCATGCCGAACTCCGGTTAAGGAGATTCTTTACATCCGATCGAACTTCTGCCTTTCTTCCAACGGCATTCCCATGCCTGTCCCCTCTTCCGAGCTTTTAATTGATGGCAGCGAGTTGCGTCATAAGCACAATCCCTTTTAATTTAATCTAAGGGTTCCCCCGGTTGCACCGAGTGAAAATAGATGGAAGCTTGAAGGTAGATTTCATTTAGTTCGATGCTACCCACGCGCTGATAATCTTCTTGAAATTTTATGCAATTCTGGTCTGTATTGTTTCCTAATTAAACAGTGAGAATCCATAAGGTACAAAAATAAACTTGAATCAGTTCTCCTCTGCCTGTGGGCTATTAACGATGGTCCTGGTGATTCAAGTAAACATTGTAATCGACATCAGTTCGTGGGTGAAAACTGATAGTCGTCAAAGGAAGGGACTCGGAATTAAACTGAATTACACCTATACACATTCAATAATCAACTTCGTAATCAGGCAGTGGAAGAATTTACCTCAAATTGTGGGTGAGTCTTTTGAGGCTGCTTTTATCAAGAGGAAAGTCTAGCCCAGAGAATGAAATAATATAAAACCAGTCTAACTGGTATAGGTTCTGTGTTTACCGAATTTGGCATGTTCTCATAAATCCATGCAAGTCCTTCTGAACATAGTGATAAAAAGGAAGTTCTAAACGATAAGAAAATAAGCAGAGTAACAATAATTCTTATAAAAGAAACAAAAGTTTTCAGTTTTCAAAACATGCTTTGGCATTACCAGTGTCATCTTCAGTTTCAAATGGTCGTTGCGCAATTTGAATTTACACTTCACAAATTTCTAAATCCTCATTCATTATCCAGACAGTAGGTCTTCCTAATAGAATTCATGAAATATTTCAATCAGCTATCAAGTGTTGATCATTCTGCGAAGAAGTACTTTTAATTCAATGGTTTCTCTTTGTGGCATAATATTCGACTTTTCTGGGGAAGATTTGCAAGTTCGAGATCAAAGGAAAAAGTAAGAGATAACTGAATTAAAACTTTTACGGCAATTTGACGTATTATGCCCACACCTACAAAACGTTCCTCATTACCATTCGAAATACTTTATTTCCATCCTTTTCGTTCACCGTGAGCCCACTACTTGATCCGTAAATAACTGCTCACAAATAAAGATCTGCTCATGGGCAATATGACAGTGTTTTGTGGAAAATAAGTAGTTAGTTTTGTGAAAGCTATTCTGTTGAAAAAGGTAGATCACTTCCTAAGATGTGAAAGAGAGATTTCCGGAATAAATTTTGAAAAACAAAAAAACCATGCAAACCTAGTAATTGACTAAAAACTTTTAGAAGGGAGTTATTTCCATTCATCCACAAGCTCTTAAAAGTGTCCTTAGAATTCTTGATAAAATATACCGCTCGTCTTTCTTCGTAATTTCAGAGGGCGACATATCATCTCCGCCTCAATAAAAGGGAGAAAAATAAAGAAGTGTTGCTGAAACTCATAGCAACCGGCAGAAACATAAAGCCGACAAAGTAGTGCATAATTATTATTAAGTTAAACGTTTTCATCCACTTTTTCACTCGGTGAAACAGAAACAGAAATATTAGTGCTTTCTGTAGAACTCCTGTCAGCTAGTCGTAAAAATTCTGGTAAAGAACATTATTATGTAAAAGAAAAATCCAGAGGTGAGTTTTCATCTGTTGCATGCTCTGTTAGGTATTGGCAATGGTTTTAGATGGTCTGTTTTATTCAGGTTAGTTGCTGAGTAATATGAAACGTTTCCTTGAAATACGCGAGAATATTTTTGGGATATGGCTTCTCACTGATGCAATACGGTTGATGCCTTGCGTATCGCTAAAAAAAAAAAAACTGATTATTTTAAATTCAAACGCGAGCTTGAGAGCGTCAACGACGAGTAAGTAGGTCTTGTTTATATCAGTAATGTTGCACTCAAAAGTCCTTCACAAACATTGCGAAGCAACCAGGCAGTATTGAGAATCAAAACTGGGCGGATCATATCAGAAAAGGAGATCTGCCATAGGAGTTTGCTAAAGATGCGCCAACAAGATGTTAAATTTCTTAAGTGCAGCGTAAACATTTTAAGTAATGATTTGTACAAACTTGCTTTTAGATGGGTTGGACAACAAATCGGTTAGTTATCCAACGTCATTTTCCTATCTTGATTTGAATTCACGAGGGCGAGCGAAAGCTACGGGGTGTGATTTGCAGCTCACTCGATTGACCATTGATTGAACTTCAAGAGGTAAATAATTGTTGTATATAATGTTTGAAAAGCTAATTAACTGGCATACAAAGTCGCTTCTCAGATGCAGGTTTTCAGTGACACATATATCTCAAGAAATATTTTCCACGTTTATTAAACTACGTGATTATAGTGAGGTTCGTAACTTAAAATATAATTCAAAGTTGATAAAGCTATATTAAGCGGATTCCTTTGTTTTCATACTGTGCAAACAATGCTGTTTCAATTTCAAACGATTTTTTTTTGAAATTGTTAACTGATAGATGAATAGAACCAAAGAGGTCAGTAAATTACCGGACTTTCGAATCACAAGCACGTTTTTCAACTGAGAATCTCGTTATTTACTTCAGGCCTCTCGCTGTCTTTCGTTTAAATGTGTCACAAAGTGCTTAGCATCAATTATAAGTGAGAAAAAAAGTCTGCCCACCTGTCATGTGCTTGCACACTATTGAACATTACAGCGAAATAAATCTCAGCTAAAATTTGACTTAACGCCGCGGAATTAAATCTAGCCTTGTGTTTCGATAAACAATACATCTTTCAATTTGCCAGAAAAAAACATTTGCGACGTACGACTGCAATTCCCACAATGCCGAGACTTCATTGCGAGGTTGATTAAGGTTTTATATGTGAAACGTGATTAAGCCAAAAAATAATACGTGACGCGTAAATTTACAGATAGGCAAGGTAGGAGATCCTCTTTGAAAACCATATCTATATGAAAAAGTCACCTCAATGAAGATTATCATTACAATACGGGTGCTCTTTTCTACAGCAGTCACGGTGCATGTGCCTTTAGCATGTTCCAACATTTTGATTCGGCGGAGAGCTAAGAAAATGTCAACTGAAAAAGGCTAGCGAGTCAATTTCATTTTTCCTTCGCTCTCCCGCCTCGCCTGCCTCGGCCTGTTGGTGATATTGAGGTGGCTTGTAGGGAGTTTTAATAAGAATACCAAGTATGGGTCAGCGTAGTGCGAGAGAGAAATCTGAGTCCATTCTGGTCGTTGAAAAGAGATGGCGGTGGCAGATAGGACGCCTCTTGTGGAGGGTAGGCTAAATTTTAATGAAATCAGGGTCATTTGAGTTCTAATCATCCTGGTGATCATTATCATGCTCTATAATACAACTTTCCACTTTATCAGTTTCTCACACTGCGTCATTAAACCTCTTTTGTTTTCTTGTGCTAACTCAAAATGGTGTTGATCATCCATATGTAAATACAGCTGCTTCGTGTTATCACGAATTTAAGCGGCGTTGACAGGGTAATGTGTTTTACATCGCCAACTATATAAGAAGGTTGGATTAAAGACTTAGGCATTGCAGTTGGCTATGTCGCCATATCACGATGCACTATGATCATAAATCAACGCATTCTAATAGAGGATAATAGAGGAATAACAAGAGAGGAAGACCAGCACCAAACTTGACGAAAGATAAGCGAAAGATACGGCGGTGAAAAGGCTACAAGCGGTAGTGCTACTTAAAACGATCTTATGAGTATGGCTGCTAAAGAAACAAAACGGTGGGCGAGAATGGTGTTTCCTCCCCGGTCATACAGGTAATTGAAAGCGCAGCTTTGATCTGATACAAAGGAAAAGCCCTTAATATTTACTGTTCAAAACGGCTCTTACATCTTGGAGTTCGTGGTCAAGTTTGTAGTGGAGCCAACAAGAGATATATGAAACGTTGATTTTAGCAGAAATTTACCATTATGTGATTTAAAGTAAATACCGAACTTCATGACTATGCAGATCGTAGTATGACAACATGCGTAATGTGACGATAAAATGACAAACTTCTTTACGTAAGTGCCGAATTTACCGGAAGGATATCAACCAAGTTACAAATGGATTTTTACATGAGTTGTGGCCATAAGCAAAGTAACGACATTTTCCTGATAAAATTTAATCTGACCGATGTTGTTGGCAAATTTTTGGTCAGCTGAATCATCATATTATGCAACGAATATAGCGAAGCAGTGGTTTAAAGGAAAGATACTATGGTTTTATACGCAGCCTATTTTATTTTCCTTCAAAAATGTATCTTTAACGGAGTGCACTGAAAGTTTAAAGCCACACCGTCTTAAGTCTGGGAGCTTAGTATTAAAATGTATAATGAAGTAAAGCTTTGACTTGGCAACATTTGAAATACCGCTAGCTAATACAGGTGTACGGTATTCTCATAGCTTTTTAGTGATAAACTTTTGCTCTCTTTCGTTCGGACGCATTTTTTTAATCCGGATTATCTCAATTACATTATCATAAATCGTTTTAAGAACCTCTGCTCTATGATAAATTTCTCACTTTCTGAAAGGATAATTAAAGGCCGGAGCTATCAGTCATGATTTCATTGCATCCTTCAGCTTTTTAAAGAAAAGTGTTCCAGTGTGGATAACAATTCTGTTCAATCAACTTACAAAGAATGGTGACTGATCGTGGGTACACTGATTTGAATATGAATATCAAGTTATGTGGACTTTTCACACGGCTTAATGACTCCTGTGTTGTTGACATAAGCACAACTAATAAAACTGAATGTGTAATTGTGACGTGAGACCGAGGAAACCGAAACAAACCTGAGAAATTTTACTCATCTAAAGTTGAAGTTGGATTTTCAATCTTCTTGAAAATTATTGCAATTCAATATAAAAGCTTGATGTCTGTTCCTCTGCTCTTTTTTTTTTTCATTTACGTACACGGTACTAAATCCTTACCTAATCGTTAAATTTAAGTCGACTCTTTGAGTTCTAGACTCTGTCATAGTCTTTAAACAAATTTTTTAAAGTTCGTTTGATCTGCACAAGGTCTTGACGAACGCAAGTGCTCTCTGCTTAACGAGACTATTAATTATTTCGCTGCTGTACTTAAACAAATACATTTCATTTTTTCGTTTGCCTGTCAAGATTTAAGATGAGAAATTATGTGAAAAACTTGGTTTCACGACCTGCAATGGATTGTATCCGATGTTCATGCCATACCAGTTTCAGCGTCATCTATAACCTGTCTCTTTAAAGACACACAACAAGATGTACTCTACCGCACACGCTCTAATAAATCCTTCTCTCTGTTTAGCCCCCTTCCGAGAACTTCGAACCAATCATAGCGCGATCAGTTCTCATCTCACTGTCTACCATCTAATGGTGCTTTTCTTTCAGCACGGAGCTAACATCTGCAACATCAAGAGTATCTTCTCCCGCGGACCCCTGGAAAGTGAACGCTGAGATAAACTCAAGTCAAGCTGACCTCATAATGACAAAAAACAAACGATCTCTTAGAGAGTTACTCTACGAGTTTGCAGATGGAACCAGTGCCCATGGTGTGGGCAAGATAGGTTCGACCGCGAAAGCCAAATCTTGGTTTTGGTGTGGTTTTTGGGTACTGGTGACTCTGACTTGTGCAGGTATGGTGATATCTCAAGGGATTTTGTTATTGGAAACATATCTCGACAAACCAACGAAGTCTGATATTGACGTCACGTACGTGAGGGTGAGTCATGCGGACGTTGTTTTGCTACTTTTGATGTTACTGGGTTTTTTATATTGTAATAGATATTGTCTATTTAAATCTATTTACTCATTTATTTGATATGCGAATCGGGAACGTGTAGTAGTTGTGAGTTGTGGGCTAATTATTTGTAAAAAGTGATACAGATATCTCAGGGCGAGAGAAAGGCTGCGCGAAATTTATACTGTGGAACAAAAAACTAGAAAAGAAAAATAACATATCGTTCCCTCTTCTCATATTGCAATTGCCAGTGTCTGATATTTCAGTAGTGTTTTAGTGGCGATCAAGTTATGTAAGTATCAGAGCCAAAATCGGAAACAGGATAAAAAAGAGAGGAAGGATATCAAATCTATGACCTTCCCATTGCTACCAAGGTTGCTCTACCCGAACACTGACTGACTCTTCAAATCCCAAGAGTGACCAAGACAGCATTTCTCGTTACAACATCAATAAACTGTCAAGCAGATAAGTGACGAGAACACAGAGAAAAATATCAATTAGAGGGTTTTTAGATGATCCAATACCGATTTTCTGAGGTAACAACATAAGAATTACACAGCAGACAGTAGGGAAAATTGCTATGAGATCTTAGGGGCGAAAAAGTCAAACAAGGTTAAGGTGTAGATTTTCATTAGTTCTATCCCCTAAACCAAGATTGTCTGTATTACACCTAATAATCAGTTTTTATCATCCCTCTGTTCTTTTACAGACAGTTCAATTTCCTGCAGTGACCATATGTAACCTTAACATTATAAGGAGATCCAAAATTCGTTCCTTTGGGGACGCAGAAGCAATCGTGAGCACTTTTGACAAATTTATGGAGCGAGAACCGCCAAAAGACGGACATGACCACGATAAGGAAGGTGCAGCAGCTAATCAGTCGAGTTCCGGCAGTTCATCAACCTCATTCGGTCCTCCGGACAGACAAAAAGAAGCCATGAAGGAATCTTTAAAGATTGACGATTCAAATGCCGAGGAACACATGAGATTGAGCAATGTTACGGTCGACGAACAAGCCTACGCTGAATATCTGATTCTAAGCACGTTAGCCAAGCAAAACATGAGCGATTTAATGGATGCGGGACATGAATTTAATGAATTGGTGTTTCGTTGTAATTGGAAAGACTTTTCGTGTAAAGATGGGTAAGTAGAAGCTACAGAAACTTCACAACCATTTTGAAAAGAAGCAAAGGATGAATTTGTTTTTGTGTGTGTCATGATGAGAGATATCAGGGAAAAGAAATATCGTCTGCCGCCATAGGTAGATAAATCTTAAACTTCCCGATAAGTACATCGGATACTCTTACAATGGGTTTATATCGAAAGGCATTGTGGAATACGAAAAGGCCCAACTATACAGTACTTGAATTATACACCGTAAACTCTCTCATACGCCCCGGCAGAGTTAGGAAGGAGGTGGGAGGGGGAAGTGACGGGGGAGAGGGGGGAAGTGTGGGCAGACTAACCTCAATGGCTCCCCAAAGGAGGGCTTATTGAAGAGAGAGAGAGATTTGGAATGGCGTTCAAAACTTTCTGAGAAACAGAATGTGAGTCCGCAACTCTTTCCTCTGTAGAATTTGTTATGGTACTAATAAATAATTGATCTTTAATTCCTTTCCATCGATATGGTCTACTCAAATCAGTTGTGAGGTATATTGATAAAACATAACAAGAGAACTACAAGAAAGGGTTATTGATACCTTTCCTGGAAACTTGAACGTGACCAGACCAATAGAAGTACGTCTTTTGTTTTTGTGATTGGTCGAGAGTCAGTCCTGCAATCCTGACTGTAAAAGGATAGGATGGATAAGAGAGAGCGAGAGAGGAGAAAGGAAACGGTTCTTTTATTTGTTATGCATGTCATGCCTTATATCGTCCCAAGTTCTTATCCTCCCAACTTGTCTGATTCTCTTGACACACAGCGATTTCCTGAAGTACTGGAAACGAACGTGGAACTGGAGATACGGAAACTGTTATACATTTAATTCTGGTGCCACAGAGGATGGTAAAAAGACTCCTGTATTGACAAGCACAAAACCTGGACCACAATATGGTAATGGCGTTATCTGCTTTATAGTAAGCAGTGCAAATCCAGCTGACCAGGAAGGTTTGAAATTGATTGACCAACTAAGCCTTCTATTTTTTTCCTGTCAGGTCTCACACTGGACTTATTTGTGAATCAGGGAGAGTATATTCCTAGCATAAGCCAGGAGGCAGGGGTGCGTATTCTACTGACTCCTCAGCGCAGCATTCCCTTTCCTGTTGACGAGGGTTTCACTGTATCTCCTGGATTTTCAACTTCTATTGGTTTAAGACAGGTTTGTGTTGCGTTGTAAACATTATTCCTGGTGTAATTCTTTTTAAGTTACTTTAAGATCAGACTGATGTATTCGTAGAGTTAAGGAGGATCAAGTCATAACCATTCATGCGCTACAAAGTTTGCATCTTGGTGCATGTCACATTGTTTCCGTAAAACCAGATCAAGAAGAACAAGAAGAAGAACAAAATTTTAAAAGATTCCTTTCGAATAAGGCCTACAAAAATATCCAGTCTCACAGCTTCATTTTCTCTTACTCCTATTCATTATTAAACGTGTCGATTTATCTGCAAATCTACATTGGTTTTGCGTAAGCCATATCTCTTCTTCAACAGCTACATATCGTTAGAGTGGATCCCTTTAAGAATGACAGCTGCTATGGCCATGACACACTGGAAGATTTTTCCGTTTACAAGCGTTTCAAAGGCTCAAAATATTCTGTGCAGGTTTGTCAATTTACGATTTGGCATAGCTAAGGGACTAGGGATTATTTATCGCCAGAAAGGGAGCGATCACATGGTTTTTAGGGGAAACAAAGGGGGGGGGGGGGGGTCAGTGATTGCCAAACTGAAGAGTATTAACGTAAGCAATATAAAATTAGCTGCCAATTAATTACCAATGAGGAGACGGGGGATCATAAGAATATTTATTACACTCATTTTGAAATCACTGGTGGTCCCTGTAATCTGATTGGCTCTAATTGATGTGATTTATTCACGAATCGCACCATTTTTTGCTTTAAATCGCATCTTTTTCCCAGCCAATGAAGAGGCTACACTAAAAAACAAAACAACCAATCAGATTTCAAGGCTTGTTTAAAGTAACCGATCAAATTGCAGAAAAATAAAAGACAAAGAGTATCATGTGGCAAATTTTGCAACTTTTGTTTCCAAAACTCTTACTTTCCCCCCCCCAAAAAAATGGATGAACTTAATTTCAGACCGGCTCAGTACTGCTTCAATAAAATATTTAAACTGACTAAGTCTGCATTTGTGCGATTTCAAAATGGATGTAATAAAGTGGTAATTTAACCTCGTGTCGTGCAATTTTGGTTTGAAATCATACTTGTGATTTCAAATCGAACTCGCACTGTACACTCATTCGATTTTGAAATCACGCGTATGATTTCTGCCCAAATTGCACTCCACTCAGTTCAATTACCATTATTAATCAGCCTTATGGGGGATCAGGTAAATTATATCTTGACACAATCAAGATCCTCTGACCCCATCCCCCTGCCAAGGAGGGAGGTTCGTAAGATTATTACTGGGCTTTATGGACTTATGGGGAGTCAGGTAAATTTTATGGTGACACGATCAAAATCCTCTCACCCCCCACCCTCCACCAAGCGACCATTACCGACCGGTTCATATTTGTTTTCTGGATTTAACTTTAATATAGTCCATTTCCGTAGCGAATAAAGACTGTTGGCAGACGAAAATTCTTTGAATTCTGATAAATCTCACATGGAATGAGGAGGAAGTTATGAAAAATTTAAGTTCTTTGCATTAAAAATAGACTGAGGCAAAAAGGCATTCAATTCGAAAAAAAAATACTCTAAAAATTGTATAAGTAAAATTGCAATTTTTAAGTGTTGGAACTCCTGAATTTACCAGAATTGTGTTGCTTCATGTTTTTACTTGGACAAACTAGCCAGAAAAATCACAAAATTTTAACACAACAGAGCAATTTCTCTTTTGTGTGAGCTGAAATGTCAGATTTATTGTTCTTTTTGACTTTATGTCTTTTAAGACATAGATTAAAATTCTGGTCACAACATAAATAAATACAAAAATTGGATTTGGTGTCGATGTGAGTCTTAATTTGTAACTAAAAAAAGGAATTCATTGAGTCATCTATAAGCACGTTATCATCCAGTTCTGAAAAACACAAAAGCTGACGTAAATTTGCTACTTTAAATTCTCTTCTTAGGGTTGTATGTATTCGTGTCTGGCTGAGGCGCAGAAAGATAAATGCAAGTGCACTGAAGGAAAATTCCCTGTGGGTGGAGAGATATGTTTGAATGTTACTGAACGTAAGTTCTTTGTTTATTTAGAGCTTTTCTTTATTGAACACTTTAACACGCTGTTGGAAACCGGCGAAATGATGTTCTATAAAAATTTTAAGAAATGAATATGTTTTTATTTACTGAGTGAGAAGGCCAGACGGGAAAATATTTGTCTCGAAGTTATGACGTACATGACGTAGATACTGAGTGCGGAGAGGTTCGTGCGTCAAGACCGAGAGCAAAATATTTCCGTGATTGGCTCTAACAAACTCAGTCAATGTAAGTTTCAACATATGACAAGTGAGTTTTTGAAATATTGACATTTAATTCTTCGAGTTGCAACAAGAAATCTCAATTAATCGGTAACACAACCCATTACCTCATTTCTATCTTTCTGAAGTTCAAGTTTACAAATAGAATTCACGTCCGTGGAAAATGCGACAGAACTATACAAATACAGCGGGACAGCTTTCTCCGTACCAGCCCTCTTGAGCCTGTCCAATCCTTCAAACTTCACACTTCACACTTCATAATGGTTTTTTATTAAATTGCGTGAGCGCAGCCATACGGGTCATATAAAAAATGGTTCTACCTCTTCTTTGATTTTTTCAGCCCTCAGTCTGAATCGCATTTTTATAAACTTTCTTTTCGACTCATAACAACAGTACTCTTAAGGTTTATGACCATATTTCATATCGCATTTGCTAACCAAACGTTCGCATGCGCAATTTGGTAGCCTTGGGTTTTAAAACCTTAACAATGTCCTATCATATCGTAATAAACGATTAAATACTAATATATTTTTGATTCTCATAACCAGTGCAATGTGTTCAAGAACAGCAAAAGAGATATGATAATGACGAACTTGGTTGTTCAAGACGGTGCCCTCAACCTTGCCAGTATGTATTTTTTTATTACTCCGTAGAATACAACTCGTCACAATACAAATGCGAATTTTTCTCAAATAAGCATCCACAAACAATAACTGCCTAGTTAAGTAAATTAATTTGTTTTTCAAACAGGCAAATGAGTTTCAGGACGTCAATGTCCAATTCAGCGTGGGCTCAAAGTTACGAGGTAAGATTGCTTACCCATGTCATCAAAATAATAATTTGTAGGTTTTACCTGTATCGGCCTTCATGCTAACTTGCAAGCGATTTAAACCACTGAACCGATTGACGATTTAAGTAGCAAATACTTCCTTCAATTATTAAGAAAAATACCAAAATTCACCATTTTTCATTGTTATTACACTTTACAGAAACAAGTTCAAGCAATGATGCGAAGAGAAGGCGACACCAATTTCAAAAATATGGGAAACGACAAAGACACATTACGGTAATCTTAAGACCCCCCCCCTCCGGTCTGCACCTTCCTCACACTCACCTATAAAGAGAAAACCACATCCATTTTAAAGGTTGATTTCTTCGTTTTAATCTAATCCGATATATTCTTGAATATCCTGTAATTGAATGTGCTCTGTGAATTTTTCTGATGGTGATGATTTTTTTGTTGTTGTACTAAAGCTTACATAATTAATATGGGATAAACCTTTCCACCCTTTGTGTTGAATACACTTTAATCAATGTAAAGTCCTTTTTGCGGTTAGATATTTTAAATTTAATGAGTATGTTCGCTTTTGTTTAATCTTTAATCTCAGGCAAAATTTCCTAAGAATAAAGATTTATTTTGAGGAACTCAACATGGAGAAAATAACATACTCCGAATACTATGCAGTAAGTGTATTTAGTGAACTTGGTGTACATGGTCCCATGTTTTATGTTATCTTTTATTTATTCTGAGATCTCGTGAATCCTTGTGATATCTGCTTCTGCACGGAGTCGTTACGGATACTCCGTAGGCTTCACAAAAATCTGATGAGAAGGACTCTTTCAGCAAATAAGAATTCGTAGCATGCAAATTGAAAGAGCCTTTGTTTTACTGAAGGGTAGGCATGCCATTGAACGAGTACTATCATGCTTCATTATGAGTGCTGCAAATTGTATGTAGACAAACACGATGGCAACTTTCGAGAAATTCCTTGAAAATCTTTAGATCATACAGCTTTTTCATCTTGTTATTCTCGTTGAACTTTTCTTGTTGTTCAAAAAATGTATTTACATCTTCATTGCTAACCAAAAAAAATCTTGCAATGGCCATTACTCCAAACAACAAACAAACCAAGTTCATTTAGCAAAGTTTAAAAAATTGGGAATCGCGACGTCGTTGCTCAATATCACCATTCGTGTTTACATACAAAAGATACGCCACTCGGCTCTAGGACGTGTTGGTCGTATTGAGTGAGTAAGTTCTCGATAAAACATTTCCGTCCATGTCATAAATGATATTACTCCATCTACCCAATATGACAGCAAGGGAGGATAAAACTATACTCTAGCTAAATACAAACAACATTGCATACGAACTCGACATTCATCCAATTAGACAAGTTGTAGTGTTTCGAACCATTTAATTGATGATATCGTTCTCTGCTATTGAGAAGACGATCTTAGATCATTAGAAGGCTTACGATCTTTTCTTTTTTTTTAAAGTTTGAGAATCTGATGAGTGACGTGGGAGGGCAGCTAGGTCTTTGGATCGGTGTGTCCTTCATCACGGTGGCCGAAGTGATTAAACTGCTCCTGGACATGATCAGAGTGCTGGCTCGTAAATTTTACCTCACTGACGGAGAAGTTAGAGATATCCATGAAATGAAGTGAGGATCGTTCCTCAAAGTGCTTAAGTAAATTTTATACAATCAAAATACGTTCTGCAAGGAAACCACTTAGGCTTCATGAGGATCTCCCAAGATCTAAATGTTAACTCTCCTTACTATCTACTACACATATTTTATAATTATTAGGTCTAACAATCTGGTAGTTAATCAAACAGCATCCATAACTTGGTATCAGTTTCATCTCCTCCGCATTTTTCTGCTGAACAATATAATTTGGTTTTATCGACTGAGTTGAAAATGTAAATAAGCCACTGTAAAGAGTTTCAAAGTTGACGTTTCAAGCTTTAGCTGGCGAAGGGCTAACGCTCGAAACGTCAGCTTTGAAACTCTTTACGGTGGCTACTTTACATTATCAACTCAATTGATAAAACCAAATAATCTTGTCATGCTACCTCACCGACGCAGCACCACAGTTTCTTTAGAAACTTACCCCCTTTATTCATCCCCACTTGCCCCTCACCTATTCCCTGCTTGAAAGAGACATCATTTGTAAACAGGGTATTTAACTTGTCACATTAATTCTGACAAAATAATCTGTATGATATTGTTCAATAAAAATTTGTTGTATAATGAGTGCAAATGACCGGCATGATTGTGCCATGATAACATGGTTTTCGAAGTTCTAGTATTTTCCTACCTCGTAAGTCATAAGCTTGTCCGAGGGAAATCCCTTTATTAGTATATAAGGAAAACCAGGTGTTCGGCCATCTGCCGATCCAAATTGTTTCTGCATCAGCAGTATTTTGGCCAAAAGTGAGGCATATCCATTTTTGTAACTCAGAGTTTGCCATGGGTTACTGAAAGTTCTTTATCTTTATTAATATTAGTTATTTTAAAGTTCACATGGAGTTCTTAGTTGTCTTGTTTCGTAACGTATCACGGGTTACCGCGCTCATATCCATGTAGTTTGTGAGATAATCCACTATATATACTCGACGCATTTATACTGACCCTGTCTTCTGACTTTGCATCAGACCTAAAGACATTCTTTAATCTTAAGTATCTTCTTGTATTGGAAACCCTCTTTACTCATTAATACGGTATTGGCAAACACTAAAAGGCATTTCCGTTCACTAAGTAAGGGCAAGAAATGCGCTCTGAAAACCGTTCTCATAGGTTTAAATTATTAAGAAAGTTTCATAAAGTTTGTTCCTCGCATACTCCAGCTTTCTAGGAATTTTCTTATTTAGCCAATTCAGTAACCGAGTTCTATTAAAAGGTCACACGCTCCAGATTAACTTTTACATAAACTGTTGGCTAACTGATTACAAACAAACAAAAAATACTGTTAAAAGAGACTGATACAAGACAAAAAAATAAACGTGCCACACGAAGATTTAAGCTCAGAGGGCTCAGAGCTTCCTGAGTTGCTATTTTCCTCTTCTGCATGACAACTACTTATGCCACTTTTCCCACAGGTAACCCAACAAGTTGGCCATGAATTCTAATAATTCTACAAAAGTCATAACTGAACAACCAATCCACAGGCCCAACTGACCTCCGATATCAGCGAGGAGGTTTTCGATCTGCAAAGTAGAGCGATATTAAAGTCGTTAAAGGAAGCTAAAATACATGTTAATTGTTACAAGACTATTGTAACAGTCAGTACTGTAAGTAAACTGTATCGTTAAAATAATGCCATCTGTAGCAGAAATTACACGAATCAACCTGCATTTTTTGTTAAATCGTCGCCAGCTTCTACCCGGCTTGTTTTTGTCATTCTGTATTTAAAGCTTCAATAAGTTTACCTTGTATGCCTCTTCGTTGATGGTTTTAAAAACACTCAGATCTTCATAAAATATTTGCAGTCTTAGAAAATTGTCCCTGTGGAAAAATGACAACTTCTTTCAACCTATCAGACAACAACTGCTTTTTAGATGGTTAAATTTGTAACCCCTTGTTTAACTTACATTGGTTAGTCTTTCGCTCGAATGAGGTTATTCAAGCTTTACGACTTTAAAATTCAAAATCCCTCTCAGGCAGAAGGTGTTAGAGGGTGAATCATGCCTTGTAAAAAAAAAAAAAATGGCCCAAATCAATTGATTAGCCTCGCTAGCAGTTGAAATTGAATGATTAGGATATTTGTTTTGAATAGAGGAAAATCGTGTTTGAACAAATAAATCTATAGAAAAATGCGAAATGAGGCATAGGCTATTGCTTAACAAACTAGTACCTTAACGCGATGTGTTTTGCCTTGGGGTGATTCTTGAGATAAAGCCTCCGAATCATGGCCTGTGAAAACCAAGACAACTGGACTCATGATTTGCGGGGAAATACGATGAATTGGCATTAAATTTAATAAACTCAAATACTGTTGGACTAAGAGATGGTGATATTCTTAAAAAAGGAAAAATTACATCAAATGCCGTTGACCAGCCTGCACTTGAAACTGAACGACTGAAAGCGTTCTCTCTGGGGAGAGGAAAAACATGGAAAGTAAGTATGAAGTCTACTAACAACTTTACTTTATGCCAATTTCGCCTTAGGAGATATTTATCAACGAGTAACGTAAAAAATGAACTTATTGTTACTTACAAACATGGTTGTGGACATTTAGCGATACAATCCAGTCCAGTTTTAGTGAACTTTCTTAGTATATCGTTAATGCATTTGTCTGGTTGGTAAAAAGGAGAAAAAAAACTATTACAAACTGTGAAGATCACTTTCATTCATTTCTTAATCGGCAGATCACAAATTTGATTTTCATAAATTCACAGTCATTTATTCTTCACTTCGCGCGTTTATTACAAACCAACATAATGACCAGCTCCCAGTTGGTAGAGCACTGCACCAGTATCGCAAAGGTTATGTTATTTATTCATGATTTCACGGTTATTTTACGAACCAGCGAAATGACCAGCCCCCAGCTGGCTTGTTAGCTCAGTTGGTAGAGCACTGCACCGGTATCGCAGAGGTCATGGGTTCAAATCCCGTACACACCTGAACTTGTGCCAAGCCTCACTTTCACTACTGCTTATGTGATGTTCATTACTGCGAAGATCGCTTTCATTCAAAACTATTGTTACTATTAGAAAGATTTGTGAGAGTGTGGTTGTCATCACTGGAAATTGCAAGTACGATCCAACAAACTCACTCTGCTCCTCACTAAAACATGCTGAACTGTTGATGGGAAATCTTGCTTCGGAGCAGTTGCATGTCTCGACTTCTTCGGATGCTAAACACGACATTCTACAAGCCTAAGAAGATAAATATATACAAGAAAGTATTGATCTAAAAACGAGAGAGTTTTAGTTTGGCACGGAGGCATATTCAACAAAATGGTACGGTGTAAATCTGTTGCATGAGGTGGAAAGGGGTGGGGAAGGAAGGACTGCTGAACAACTTCAGACCAGGATACTCCATTCCTGTTTACGATGGAAAGGTTTCCCTTTTTATTTCCATTTCACTACACGACAGAATCAAGGCAATCTTTTGATCCCAAAATAAGCATACTATAAACTCAAATTTAACAACAGTCAGTGATTGGACCTTACCATGTTTGAAAATATTGAAGGGCCGCAGCCAGGGCAAAAAATTTAAGAACGATCTCTGGCTAAGATGATTCAAACATTACGAGCTTTCAACTGCCTGAAAACTGCAGTTCGAAGACTGCAGTTCAGGCAGTCGCCGCGAAACTCGTAATTTTTTAATCGTTTTCGCCAGAGAACGTTCTTGATGTGTTTTTTTTTTATTTTTACCTTATCATCGTTGTTTGTTGTCAGGTAAAAAATGGTGGTTCTACGCTATAATAAAATAAATGTACTTTGCAGCGGTACGGGAGACTTCAAAGTATAAATGTAAGCGTATTTTAAATACTTTAGTCTTGCCTGGGTCGAGTAATTTACGTAGTACTTTTCTGTGTAAATGGTCCGAGTATCCACTCCGGCTTTCCCATCGTCAACACAGCTGTTGTTTAAATACGGATCTACTCTTTTAACGAATTTCTGTACGATAATAGTAATGGGATAGTAAAATAGTGATAAAAACTTTAAAGAACAATTAAGTAATAAAAGTGGTGTACGATAAATCATGAATCAACGCCCTCCCAAAATGAATATTTGTTATAGAGTATAGTAAACCAACTAATCTACATGTCAGTCATGATTTCTTTATCAAAATTAAACCTCATCGTGATATCTTACATGTAATTCTTTTGCCTTAATGATCAGCCAGATGTGAGACAAGCCTATCTTTCAACCGATTGTAGCGATTTGTACAACACCACAACACAATTAGTTCTACCCACCACATAATATAATAATAATAATAATAATAATAATATAATATAAATATAATAATATCATATAAGTAAGAACTATCACCTTTTTTATTCCAATCGACGTTGCAAATCCAGTGGGAATACTAAAGCCTTCGTCAAACGGAAAAGGCATTCGCGATTGGTCGGTTAATACAACTCTGACACCAGCCTCATCAGTCAACCTTGTATAACTTTGTTGATTAATGAAGATATCCAACTCTAGACCTAAACAAAATTAAGGCGTTCTGTTCAGTTCAAAGTGCATCTAGCGAGAATGGATGTGTGGAAGGATACAATCTGAGCATATAAGACCATAGAAAAAATTAAAATGATCGCTATGGGGCTTTTTCCTTTGTTTCTCTTGAGGGGAAAACTGTTTCAGGAGTGCACTCTGCTCCACAGAGAACAGAGAGGTAGGGAGCTTGGTTTAGATAGCCATGCAGAGCCAATTTTAAGGGCCACTTAAAACGCATATTACGATCCATAGGGTTCAGTATTTGACGACGCTTTTTTGTTTTGGTTCAAACGTTAGGATACCCTAGAAATAGACCTCTAGAATTTATTAATATGAAAAGCAGTCTTCATAGTGAGAAAGAATATTATTCCAGTCGTTAAAGCTGTGATAATCTATTACCAGTGCAACACGAATTAGTGGAGAATGACAGTCCAGCAGTGTTCTATACTGTAGATGTCTCACTTTTTTCAAATATAGCATTTATTTCTTCCCTAATTTCATTTGGCTAAATGAAGCTCATAAAGATTTCCAAGTACAGGATACTATGTCGATAAATGGAAGGTTAAACTAAACTTATTAAACGTGGAACCACTTACCGTTATTAGGTCCAGCTCTATCCGTATTCATAACAGGAAGCTTTGTTCCATTCTCAGTTAATCCTGAGTTGAATATGTAACAGTTACCGTACTTCCAATGCCAGAAGTGGCGCCAAAGCGTTCTGAGACTACTGCTTAATCAGAACGAAAAATGCATACAATAACTAATTACATTCATTATCTCTATCCTTATCGCAATTGCAATCGTTGTCGCAATCGTCTTCATCGTTGTTTCCGCTATTATTACTTAGAATATCAATGTTGTTGTATTATCATTATCTTTATCACAAGTCGTGATATTAGTAGAAGTAGTATCATTGATAACAATATTTCTATAATAAATGTTAGTATGTTGTCACTTATTGAAATAAGTAGGGGCCCTTAAATGCTTAAGCTGCATTAATCAGTTAGAAGGAATACTGTATGCACGAATAGTTTTCAGGTATTTTCAGGCATTGAACGTCTCTATGAAGAAAACCTCGCATTGGATAACTTTGACCTATACTTCCAAAGGAAGTAAAAATACCCGGAAAATCCCTCACTTACCCTGTTTTACAATTAAAAGACGACCATCGGCAGTACTTTAACATCTCATCCAGATCATGTCCAACCTTGGACAGCTCATCCTCAGGGATACTTTTCAAAACCTTATCTAAGAAGTTATTTTCTAAGCTTTTAATATCCACCTCAGCGTTGGATAAAATTTCCTTCTCGTCTGCGTTCTTTGCCTTGGATAGAAGATATTCCTTCTTAAATTTTGCTATTGCCTGAATTTTCTGTCGTATAACATCTTCGGTTGCGTTTATGCTTGTAATGTTAACTCGCTGTTCTAGACTGGTCGGTCTTCTCCCACTTCTTTGTTCCAGGCCTTCAATCACTCGGAGAAGGATTGTTTTTTGCAGTGTTTCCAGCTTTTCTCTCCTTATCATATTCAAATTACAGATTGTGACTGCAGGGAAGTCCAGGGACTGCAACGAGGAATGGTAAACCATTAGAAGCTCCCCCTTATTTTGGCTTCAAATTCTCGTAAGACTGATAACACATTTAAAACATTATCATTCTTCCAGTTTCCACACGCGGAAAACACAATATCCATATTTTCTTTGAGGTGTTAACTACCCAGGTAAGCTTGAGAAATAGAATTGAAATTTTTTTCGCACCAGGCAAAAAGGACGAGCGAGTTTGGCTCATAATTATTTGCATACTTATGTATAACCAGTAACGCCTACAACGAAAAACATTTAATCCTGTCACATATCAAAGTCCTGCCCAGAACGGAAAAAGAGATTAGATAGCAACGCACATGTCAAAACAAAGGCCTTCTTTTTACCTAAATATCATAATTCACCACACTGTTCCGCAATAAGAATATTTAAAATCGATAAGATAAATAAATCTTGGAAAAAATGAATTTGCCTTCGCTTTCAACAGTTTCTCTGCTGCGTTTTCTCTAAAATTTTTCATCAGAACTATTGTACACTATACAACACATTTACATCACTTTCAGCCGGACTGACATGCTGTTTAAGGTGCGAAACTCCAAAAAAGTTTTTCTCGCTTACAACAAAACTAGGAAGGAAATAATAACCGAAAAACGTACATCATTATAATGTAAAATAGTTAGCTTTGAAAAGTCATTTGGTGAGCTGTTAGTAAGCTTTAATTAGACCTAGATTAGATTGTAATAATCTGTTTGCCACGATCTATCCTTATTTGCGAGAAACCAGAAATATCCTCACCTCCTCAAAGCTCATCTCTGTTCTGGACACAACTGGTTTTTTCATGTATAATACAACTAAGGCAATACACATCCAAAACACTGTTGCGTACAGACCAACACTAACCAAACTCCATATCAAACGCCTCACTAATGAACTCTTCGCGTCCGCTATCCTCCCCACACCATGTGCAGTAGTAGTGGCTGCATAGTGCGACACAAGTTTCTTGAATGAGGACGGTTCATCTTTTCCATAGTCCCCCTGTGATTCCTGAAGTTCTGTTGTTTTCTTTTTGAGAGGAAAATCTTTTGTTTCACCACTATTATCCGAATACTCCGCAGCAGCCCCTGGCATGAAACTTCAGACGGAGGAAAGGTATTAATCAACGACAGATGATATGGATGGATGTAGAAGATATCCACTCGTAATCAGAAGAAATAATTGTGGCCAAAGTGAACTTGAAATTATACCTCGTTATCTGCTAAAAACTATATTACATGATTTCGTTACAAATACGATTTAAGATAAATAAATCTTGGAAAAAATTAATTTGTCTTCGCTTTCAACAGTTTCTCTGCTGCGTTTTCTCTAAGATTTTTCATCAGAACTATTGTACACTATACATCACATTTATATCACATATTAAAATTTGGAAGTAACCGTTGCAGTGAGGAATAAAATATGCTTACTGCGAATAATTTCTTTCCTTTACCTTGGCAACCCTTGTCCTCATTGACAATTTGAAACTGGTTGAACATTTAAAACATTTTGCAAACATCGCAACCACTGAAATTGGGGAAAATCTAATTTTCACGCTAGTCTAAATATTCTTGAACATATTAGTTTCATAGTAGATATATGAATGATAAAACGAGAATTTGAAATAAAACTGGCTCAAAATTATATGCAACGCAGATATTTCACGCAATTCAATCGACTGCAGATTTGTTTTGATAGCACAGTTTGGAAGCGAATCCTTGTGAAAATCTAGGAAGCAGTTCTGAATGACTGGCCATACACTAATCCTATGATGAATAGAGTACTAAAGGACCAGCATAAGAGATACTGTCGACATTAAGCGTCCTTTTCTAAACGTAAATTATTTATCCAGTTTGCATAAAGCAGTGGTTATCTGTTTAATCATGATGGCCCCGGCCCTTTTTAATGAAAGTTTAGTTTCTCGGGTACTTACGCAGAATTGTCATGAACGATGTTTCTACTGGACATGCTTGTAGCGATGGAGAATGCAGAGCCGGAAAAAGGATAGCAACTAGGATGGACTTCTTAAATTTTGTTCATCATCAACAAAACAAGTCTTTTCCTACTTTGCGCAAAATATTTTTGTCTTTTCACAGCAGTAGATATAAGATATACAATACAACCAATCAACACTGTGCAGCAGATGTTTATACTGCCCAAGTCAGTGATAAAATCCGAGTTTAAACACAATAATCGAAAACATTAAGAAATTATAATATCGTGTACACAAGGGAGAACCAAAGAAAACAAATGATAAAAAGAACGGGCACAGATCTTGTTGAATCAACTTATATATTGCTGCATTAGATACCCTGATTGGTCGATAAGAGTTAACTTTCAGTAAACATCTAATATCGTAACATTGGATCGGACTATTGTGTTGCATGCAAATTAGATGACTTCGATGGCTCAGATTTTCTACCTGATGCTCAGGCATATCAACCGATCCCTCCTTGCACATCATAATCAGTCATAAGAGCTCTCTAGGCCAGAACATCGCAGACTGGTAGGTCTCAGCTCTCGGGGCCGAAATAATTAAAACGTATCCCATGTGTACCTCCTTAGACCAACATGGGTTATAGTAATGCGGGGACCGTTGTGGATTTCAATTCGGTCTGCAATTATATAAGTGATTGACTAAATCGGATGACCGCCAAGCGGGAGTGCGACTTATCACTCACAAGTATGATTACTGACCGAATTGGACAACACGAAGCCCTGTTACCAATTAATCATAAACATTGTAATTTCCGTGTAAAAAAAAGTTATTCAGCGATAGAAAGGCTTGAAACACTGACGCTTCTCACTTGTAAATCATCTTTATTTGAATGCCTTTCCTTTTCATTTTCGTGAACCAGTAAATTTTTTCAAATCCGTTCGCACATTTTCGTGTAGCGCTAAACTTACGACAAAGTGTTATCTGTTAAAATCTTTATTATGGCTCCTGATCTAAAGCAACATTCAAGTCAATACGGATAACTTTTAACAATTTATCGTATTACTTAATATATTGCCAAAATTACCCGCTATCACGGGCAGTTTCAACAAAAGGGCTCAGTGGCAACTTTAGGCCATGAGAAATCAGGTCGGAAGTATCAGAAAACTTAGCGAATATGGATTATCAAAATAAACATCGATTCAATAACGGTTGAACATCAATGAAATTGATTTAAAAGCAATACATCGGATCAAGACAACTGTCTTAAATGTAATACTTCATGAAGAAGCTCATGAAAAAGGTACAGATGGTTGGATGCTTTTAGACAGTGAATTGTCTGCACCACTTATTCATGTGCTTGTTTAGGCCTTATATATTTGAGTTCTTGTAGACTGCATACATATGCATTTTTTTTCTTTTCTTAAACAAACTTTGGCGATAAATTGACGCATAAGAACAATATTGGTCTTTGTTTAGTATTTTAGTCGATTTATAAACTAGTATGACGTCATACCGTGCTACTTTTCAACGTTAAGTTTTAAACGAATAAACGAAAACCCTGTAATCCTGGCTTTCGATTAGTAGGCCTCTCTTTGTAATTATTTTGTAGACTGGTTATGAATAAAGAAAACCTTTCCCAGCAATTTTTACCTCTAACCTTTCATAGGGCCTCCACGCAACCCATTAAACACTTCACTTTTCAAGAAAGAGAAGAGTAAAATGACCAAGTCATAAGAAAGCGATATTGGCAGAGATTAGGGCAACTATATAAGTACGATTATCCTGGGTTAATATTCAATTGGAACTCTTCCAAATTGTTTATCTTCAACCTAAATTTTCACAGTTTTTCTAATAGAAAGAACTGCGATCAATACTTCAATTACATTTTGCAAGGAATAGAAAAATTTCAGACCCATCACTGGTTTGATTTCGATAACTTGAATTAAAGGCAAATAAACAGTCATAATGAAAAAGAAAATCTTTGATAAGTGGAAAATTCTTCACCTTTAGAAAATAAATAGTCAAAGGAAAAGCGATTGATTTATGAGTCTTAACAGAGAGCTCGACATTTCAGGAATAATGCAACGCAAGCAAGTTCTTCCGGTTTATTTAGTCAAGTAAACCGGCAAGTTGCCCTACAGGCAAACTTGAAATTCAACCAAACTCAAGCCACTCACAAAACTTTAAAATTCGAAAGTTTAGCCGTACACTCTCCTCGAAATGAGTGAAAGGATATCAAGGCTGATATCCGTGTCAAATGTGCAATTTTACTCAAAAACAAACGTGGGCCATCAGATGAATTTTCATCCACCGACTCGATGGTGCATCAACAGTTTTCCAGTTCAATGATTATTTTAGGAAAACCTCCTAGCAAACACTACTATAAAAAGACTACATCCATCCTTTTTAAAGCATCAATACAAATATTGAATTGTCATTGGACACGTTTTATGTCCACTGTATAATTTCCTACACAAATTTATTTATCCAGGTTAAACAACCTCAAACTGGCTTACGGAGCTTTTATTCGTTATCCTTGCCTACTTTGATCTAAATACAATTGGCTGATAGAAATTAAGAATCAGAATAAATTTTCAATGAATGTCTATACTAGCCTGGAATTATGAATGCAAGGAGATTATTATTAAATTTCCCTTAGAGCCTGAAGAGGAGCTCGTAATTTTTGTGTCGATAAATACAAGTTATTTGAATACATCTGCTTCAAGACGTCTGTTAAAACAAAAGGATACCTACAAATGATTACACAAAAGCGTACGTCAAATGTGTTATTCTCGTAAGCAAGAGCTTCCTAATTAAGCAATTTCTACGTAGATTAGGAATAACAATCGGAAATGTTTACAGCGCAGAACATTGAGCAACATCCTCGTTCTTTTCTTCCTGTAAGTTCTTGAGAAATATGAAAAATAAATATATATGCTTAGCTTTGGGTTAAATCCATAAATTCATAACAAAAGCTTTCCTCCGGGCAGAGGATTTGAAATCAAATCACAGAAAAATATTCCGCAGATTCGAACACCAAACTTAGCTTCCGTCAGTAAATCAAAAAGGTGTGTGACCGTTTTTTTTTTTTTTTTTTTTTGTGAATCGCGTGGGTAGTTCTGAATAGATAAAATTAGACGAGGAAAATTAATTTAAAACATAATTTTATAACATCCTGTGCCGTGATGAAGAAATGAATTTTTTCCGCAGAAAAACTTAGTCGCAAGGCACCAGTAAGACAAAATATAGTTTTAAGTTAAAAGCAACATTCAACGAAAGTGAAAAAGTTGTCGGTCGCTGGTCACTTTTGAGATCTGTGACTCAGCGTGTCGCGTGATATTTTGCGAGGCGTTTTTGTGCGGTGCGTGTTCTACCGTCATGATGTGCGTGGGTGTGCACGGAGGTAAGAATAGGCGCATCATTTCAACATTTGCATTTGGTGTTGTTAGACGGACGTGACGAGAAGAGCGGCTTTTTCAAAGGAATGAATTGTTATGAATATCGGGTACTATAGATGCAATCTTGCACTCTTTCCTAAAAGGCGGATAACATAAGTTACATATATCTTGTGCTGGATTCCCTCGTTTTAACCAAGTAAGTGGCATGAAACACACCCTAATTGCCTCTGGTAATAATATCTGACTCTATTGTAATATTCATGAACGATAGTAGAAAATGCGGCGTAGTTCATAGACCTTAAACAGCCAATTAAAGGCTGAGATAGTTTTTTTTTTGCTGAGTTAGTTATGTTACTCGAGGCCAGAAGAATTTGTGTGCCGATTTGAATTTTTTTTATTACTACTTGGCTCGTTACTCACGAATCAAGACAGTGTTTAAATTAATCAAATGCGTTTTCTGCAAATCAATGACGCATTTGGCTCCTCAGTAGTACAATTCAACTTCCTACACTCATTGATTTCAAAACTTTCTATTTTAGTAATAAGGTAAAAAGACGCAAAAGGCCTTTATTGGTATCTCTTCATCCAGTAAACATTTTTTGGTACGGTAAATATCACTGCGGGAGCGTATCTTTTCTTTGCGGGATGCGGTTATGAAACGTAACTCAGGTCATTCTACAATGTAGTTGGGTAGTGGTAAAGATTGGAAAATTAACCAATAATGCACAATCGATAGACTCTATTACTTTAAAACGAATTTTTTATTTTCATGTCCACTGAACCTTGATCGTTTAAGATACTAGCCGTGTAACCATCAAGAATTTCGCATGTTAACTATCGACCCACGAACAGAACTTGGCTTCTTAACGAAATAAAACTCAGAGTTTAGGGCTACTGAGGTTGATCAAGAACGGCTCAAAGCGTATACAAATAGTACAATGACTGTTTTGAGAGGGAGAACGATCTCTATAGTTTCTGTTGAATTCAAAGTTCTACTGGAAAGACTTTCCGAATGCGTGTTAGGAGATGTTGTCTAGACTTCCATTGTACCCTCGTTATTTGTTAGTGTGAAATATCTGACTATGGCGCGCGGGCTTTAAGTAATAATAAAAAACATTTGGTAAGATAAACTGTAAAGACGACGGTTTTTAGTCAATGACACAGGAATTGTGAAACAAATATTGCGAACTAACCCAACGAGACAAAAAAGTAGAACCAGTAACCTTTCGCTTTAACCTTCAGATGCTCTACCATTACTTACAGCAAATTCTTGGGTGGTGCCCCGTTTAAATTTTGAATCAATGAGTAATAATATTAATAATTAAAATGACAATCATACATTAAAGTAATCACAATCCAAAACATTCTGTGTCTCGCCAGGATTCCGGCATTTGCTATCACGGAAATGAAGGCTACTTTTTAATATGATTAAAGTGAAAGATTATGATGCTTTTCAGTCAGTCACACAGACCCAGCTTTGACAACTTTTGCTCTCTTGTCCATGATACTCGTAAGGAAAAAATTCTGACTAAGAGGATATCGAACCTCTGATCTTCCAATAAGTGCTTCTGTCATTCTTCCTCTGAATTCTTCCAACGACGTAATCGAGGTAAATTTGATCACTGTGCTTTCACTACTCCTTCTGTAACAATGGAACCAGTCGAACCCGACTTCAGTTCATCATGTTCTACATACCATAACCCAAACTCCCTCGTAAATTTTAAAGAATTTATACTCTGAATTCATTAAGCCCTGTTACATAAAAGAATATAACGAGCTTAATATTCTTGTCCTTTTTCAGCATGCCAACCTCCGAAAGAGGATTGTTTTCTGCAATTTTACTTGGTCTCATTTTAGTGGTCTCAGAGCCTACAACTGCTGAAGCCTCGGGAAGACACAGATTGCCCACATCGAAAGGCGGCATCACTGTTCCAATCACACCTCAAGAAATTGGCCAAGCATGGTGTAAAACGAAGACGATACGACAAACGATTCGCAAGCGCGGTTGTGAGTCCAAAATGGTTGAGAACAACATGTGCTACGGACAGTGCCGATCGTTTTACATCCCAATTCGTAAAGGTGCTTTTGAATCCTGTTCGTTCTGCACACCTGTCAATTCTACAACATTAAAGGTTGTGCTGAATTGTCCGACCAGGAAAATTAAGAAAGTTGTCAAAAACGTTAAAATCATCACGGAATGTAGTTGCCGAGTGTGCGCGAGTTTGAGGTACATATAAAATATTGATTGAAAAGTGTTACTCGATATTTTGCCATCGCAATAAAGTGCTATTTAGAGATGTAAATATGGAAATTACAAAAAAATACAATATTAGTACAGTATTACTATGTAATTGTATTGTATGTGAGTAAATCACAATTAATCTGACAAATTTCACACCGGGCTAGATTTACACCAATATATAAGCTTCATATTGAAGACATATGATCAATTTAGAGGTGTTGAAAAATAAACTTTGAAAAGTTAGAAACGCGTGCCTGACCACTTTATTCTGTTCAAGGCTCATATTAGCTCCTCTACCGAATACGGAAGCTGATGTGGGCAAGACGTTGATTCAGTTCCTGTCTAAATTACGCAGGATGAATTTGAAAAAGCATCTTCAAATTAAAGCTGAAGTTTTTGATTGATCGATACTACAAAACCAAGCAAACGCAATGGCCAATTTTGATAAAGGTTAATATCATCATTAGCCGATAAGAACCCGAAATAAAAACAGGAAAACTATCAAAGTTAGGGGAAACGAGTCGAGATGGGGTTTCGTTTTGCGTCTAATTGGTTCAGGGGATGAGGCACGTTTTCTAGACCAATCGCAGGGCAAAGAAAAGCAAACACAAAGTAATCCCGCATCACTTTTGACATTCATTTGAAAATTCCTCTCGTCCATTTTTACAGTTCGGAGAAGTGCTCACACTAATTCCGATGATGCTGAAGCGCTGTCATTGCTCCTCCTGACTTTTTGGGAGGTAAAATTAGCCATTCATATACACATCCCCAATTTAGCAATCTAGCGTTTCTGCCGCATTTGATTGTTACATTTTAAAATTCACTCGCTGTTAAGTGGAAGGAAAACAAGAAAATATTTTTTGAGTGTGAAACACGCCTGTGAGGTGAAGAAATTCATATAGAGGAAGTCCTAGACAACCTTATACTACATTCACCCTGCCAAACGAGAAGACTGTCTCAGGTTGATTTGAAAGTGAATTCAACTGTTAAGAACTTCAAATAAATCAAAATTATATTTCATATTCTCAATAATAAAAATGATGGTAAATTTTACCGAAATATTCTCGAGATGAAATGCATAATGGCAGGATTTATCTGGTATAAGCTTGCGTTCTGCATACGACCACTTCAGTTTGAACAATTGATCATTGATACTTTTTTGATATGCATGCATGTTTGACTGGTACTTTGTATAAGACTTCTTCTTCCAGTGTCGTAAATGTGCAAGATTTGCTTCAAAAGCGCCCAGTTGAGGGTAATCATTCAAGCCTCTTTTGTTAGAGTAAAGCGTGGGAACCATTAACAGTCAGAAAGAAAGCTAGACATAGCATTTTAGTGTAGTATTATCAGTTACATACCAACGAAGGCATATCAGAAGAAGAGGGCCTTCTACACAAAATCACAGAAATTTTAAGCCAAATACAGAATCGCCGTTTGCTCTCAGAAAAATGCCATTTTTGTAATCTGTGACTGAAGTCTTTAACTTTTTCGCTGAATAGTACTGTGTAAATGACAGTATTATCTTTAACCTTACTCAGACAGAAAAGTTAACTCCCTCTATAAAATTCGGTTCAGGCAATGGAGAGAATCTGCCAGAGCGCGGCACTTTGGAATAATCTGCTATTTACTCGAAGACGGCTAAAGTTAATATAGATTTAGCCAAGCCTAAAAGCGGAGATCGCCCGCACGTCTCAAGGGCACAACGCCTTGCCCCGGCCAGGGCTAGAACCCGGGTCGTCCGACGCGGAGCCCAGTGCACTGACCACTGGACAACTGGACAAAGCCGTGACCTTGGCGTGACCGCGGCACAGTTGACCACGCATGTTAAAAGTAGCACTTTGTGCGGTCGGTCATACGGTCGTACGGTCATAAGTCCAACTTTTTTCGGCTGGATGGGTTGCTACTACCATTTTTTATAATTATGGGGCTACGCTCTGCGAGCTCCGCCATTATTATTATTTTTTTTTAACAGAAACTGATTACGCTTGCGATATTATCTTACCCTCATAGACTGTATCCTCCGACTCAAAGAGCACCTTTTACAGAACGACTTTTATGTATTTCGGATAATTTGCTGCTTTCGTTGTTGTTGTTGTAGTACGGCAACGCGTGTATGGTGCAGCCGCGTTTTGGCGCGAATTTAGGATTGAAAGGGATCTTGGGAAATAACAAGAAAAATTCTTGAGACCAAAAGCAAAGGAACCTGAGAATTAACGTTAGAAACATGATTTCGTTTTAAAGACCCCCTTCTAATTTGGTTTTAAAAATAATCACAGTTTGTAATTTAAAGGATAAAAGGATGTGGGTGTCTTTGTAACACATCGCTTGAGAAATGCCGAAAAAACTTCTTCAAGTTTAAACCTGACAGTACACAAGTTTCAGGAACATTTCTATCAGTTGTTTAGAAACTAGAAAGTTAGACTTAGAAACTTCCATAATTGTGCTCATCATAAATAAGCGAACTCGAAAACAAAAGATACTAAGATTGTGCATGGCAAGGGAGCCGAGATGTATGTTTTGGCTGCTTTCCTGACCAGTCTCCACTTCTGTGGCAAAAGTAACCTTGAATTTGAATTACTGTATCGTTTACAAAAATAAAAACACACCACTCTACTCTATACGCTGACATAGAGTTACTATTATTATTATTATTTTTTTATTTTATTTATATGTAAAAATAATAATAACTCACCAAAAATATCGTACGATTCCTTGAACGACACGGCAATTGGAGGAGAATGGAGTTTGGACTCTGCCCACATCAGGCCACTTATTCACTTAGCACCCATAGGCAGCCGGCAAAGGACTGGAGCTGTATATGAAGCTTGCAAAGCACTGTGGTCTGTGTGTTCCTTTCTCCATGAACTTTCAACATCGGTGGATTTTTCAACAGGAATCCATCAACTTGTTGTGTTTACTTCAGATTTCTTTCGGCAGATCCTATGAGTACTCAGATGGAAGTCTTGCGCTGCTTCAATTGCGACCACACCGGTAGAAGGCACGAGGATTTTTTCAATATTACAAAAATTCATCCGTCATTTGCTGAGAAAGCAGACTCGGAAAGTGAAGAACAAGAACAAGACAAGTTTTTGAGAGAAAACGCTTTCCTAGTGTGTGGCGATTGCGTCTACGATCGTCTGCAAGAGTGTCATAGCTGTGCCAAGAAAGCGCCACTGTGCATGTTCAAAATTGCGGAGTGGTTCACTGACAAGAAAAATCGGATTTGTATCGATTGTGCCGCAACTCTCGAGGCGCTTGGATTATTTCAGACCGGCTATCATTCCAGTGTAATCATTCGCCAGTGCTCGGTTTGTCGCCATTTTAAGTATTTACCTTCGTTTATCAGTTGGAGAAAGCATCAACCGCACGAAACATTGAAAGATTGCTTTGAATGCCAACTCCGGCGAGATATCGTGCAATATAAGAGGAAAGTTCGAGATCGATACGAAGAAAAACTTCAACAAGAACCTGTTCTTGGTGATGACATCCAACCGTCAAGGACAGGTGGCAAAGAACGGTTTGGGAAGGCACTCGCCCAACAGGGAGCAACTTACGCGTCTGTTGTTTCAAAAGGATTCACTAATGGTAAATCGTCCTATACTAAGAGCGACGAAGGCCATTTGGGAACTAAACAAAACACTGCACATCTAAACGTTCCGATCGAAAGTGGGCAGCAGAGAGGAAAGAGTCTTAGCACTGGTTTGGAAGGTAAGAGGCGCCGTACAGATTGCAGGTGTTTCCCTAAAAAAAAATTATATTTGACCAAAACCCTAAACTTTCCCTTCATCTAGTGTAGATGATCTGAATTCGCATTTGCTTAAAATAATTTGCTGTTTGTTTTTGTCGTCTAAACAGAGACAACACCACACTCATTTTATGATAAGGCTTGTGTAGTGATGGAAATATTTAAAGTTGATCGTGCACTTGGTCAATATTTACTATTCCATTTGGCATTTCTGATGCAGGTATTTTCATTCTCTGAAATTATGTTAAGTTTATCTTCGTGGAGCCTGTTTTATTGATTAATAAAGAAAATTTCTCGATATTCATTTGACTGAAAGTAATTACAGGTTACACGAGGATTACATGTTGTTTGCCATCATAGCGGAAACCAATTGTTTCCGGTGAGGAAACTTCGATCAAATTTGCAGTTTGGTGTCAGTAGAACCATTCCACTGCAAAAGTCACACCATCGTTCAATATTTAATATACTTGATGAAAATTCTTCAGAGATATGATTCTTTAATAGCTTTATGTTTATACCACTCGTGAAAACCCAACTCTCACATGACACTATCAAAAATTGTGGAATTTGGAACTTCTAAGTTATTATAGATACAGTTTGTCAACAGTGTTTTTCAGACACCATACATGTACTTTGGCTCTTTATACAGTTACTGTAGAAAATATTTGAACATAATGTGTCCACAGACAGCTCAGGCAATTTAAGAGCAGTTTTAACAAGAAGCATTTGAATTTACATTTTACATGAAAATGTTCCTGATGAAGGAAAGATACCTTTTAAAGGATAAAATCCAAATTTATGGCTCACTAATGTACCTTGCTCTGATGTTATCTCTTTAACCATCTGTTTCCTTCTGGGGTCATTTCAAAGCCATTCCCAAGAGTTTTAGCTCTCAAGTTCTTCTGCCAACAATAAATTATTTAACAGCTTAAAGCAAAACAAGCAGACTCAAGCGTACCAAGTGAATTCAAAACTTGATAACAACCGTCTACACTCCTAAGAACTTCCATCATTAGACCTTTCAACTTTCCCAAAAGCACTAATTTTTAATAGCTTTTCGGTTTGTATCTTTTCATTTCTGCAGAGGTGTTGGACTGGAATTCTTGTCATAAAAATTATTTCATGTATACTAGGGATTTAAACTGTGGCACTGTTTTTTCCTAAAATACGAGTAGGTTTATGACAGTGGAGGTTACACAGGTTGATTGACTGTGGGTAGGCAAGAGTTAAGTCCAAGTGTCAACAACAGATTACAAAGTTTGCCATTTTTCCTATTCAACTCACCTTCAAAGTTATACGGTTTGTGTGATAAAACTTTGAAAAATTGGTCCATTTGTTTTGCAGAATGTTTTTGTATAAAAGTACTTGAGGCTCTGAAGACTTCATTCAGCCAGCTAGAGGAAAAAACTAAGCTAGAGCTCAAGCTTTTGCAATCAGATCCACATTTTTGGAAGGTTGCACTGAGGGACAAACTTTTGAGAGTTTCACAACTATTTTCGAGCCAGGCAACTGACCAGATTCAGTTCAATGATGCAGAATCACGATGGGCTTATCTTGGAACTTATACAGCAGCCCATGCTACCTTGATTCATGCTGTTGTGACGTCAGGTCAATTTGAGCCTCTCACAGAGTTTGTAAGGAAAAGTCAAGATCTAGAGAGGTTTGTATAGCTTGCTATAGTTATTTATTGCAGACCACAGATATATTCCATGTGTCTGAGAAATTACTAGACTTGATAAGGAGTGAGCATTGGTGTACATGTGTGTCAAACTATATTTATGCAAAAGAGGGATCTTCCACAGCAGACTGGCTGCATCTTTGCCCCACTTTATTATTTTTCATATAAAGAAGTAAATGCTCATTTTGGATGTTGTTAAAAAAGATACATAAACAAGTCATACTTACAGAAATTTTGTTAAGCTTGTTGAATGAGGGTAATCAAACTAACAAGAAATCCATTTTCTTCATTCTTTTATTGTCAAAAATCTGCAACTGGGGTTTATCATTCTTGTTTGGGAGCATACTTCTTTTTGGGGGAATGGGGAGGGTATGGCATGCTTTTTAATACCTTTACCCTGACTCTGACCTAAAGAATGGATTTTTCCTTGAATACCAAAGATCTGATGTTCTCGTCACAAGAGTCCTTGACATTTTAAAGCTTTTAGTGCTAACTTTTAACCTATTATCAAGAACTACAAAGCCATTTACAATTAACTAATGTACTGGGTCGAGTTGTTCAAAGGGCAGATAATACCATCCAACCAATAAATCAGTATGCAGCAGAGAAGCGTTAACAAAAGGTACTGCGCTATCCAACTGATAGCAATTTATCCAGTGGATAGCATTATCCACCCTCTGAACAATTGGGGCCTGAAGTGTTCTGTATGTGTTCTCTTTGTTTTTCCAGTTTCTTTAAAAGTACAGACTGTTCTCAAAGAAAGACATTCGTCATTTTGAAGAAAGACATTATTATACTGAACTGAAATAGTTGCTTATATATTGTCTCGTTAATTTACACACAATCATGGTGTTCTCCCTAACTGAGCTCTCAAGAAACTAATTTGTAGCTGCCTTATTTCATATTTTGTTATTCACATTTACATGAATGTGACTGGCCAAGTGATAATTCATTTTTGTTTAGGTTGCAAGTATGCTGCCTTGGTGCAGGACCTGGTAGTGAGATTCTAGGTCTCTATCAGCTGCTTCCATCCAAGACTCAGTGGTTACTTTTAGACAACTGTGAGCAGTGGTCACACACAGCTCAGATTCTATTGCAAGATGTCTGCAATGTATCTTTCCAGTACAGTGCTTTTGACATTTGTAACAGTGTCAGCCATGGAAGCAGGGGAAATTCACCACCATCACCAAACTATGCTTTCAAGAAGGTGAGTTGAATAGCTATGTTCTGTAAGTAACAGTATCTTGTTCATGTTTTTTTGTGTTTGTGTTTTCATGAAGTAAATTTTTCCTAGTAAGAAAATTATCTCTCTATCCTAACCCTGAATCTGTATTTTGTTTTCAATCAATATAATGGCATTTTTTTTTTTTTTTTTTTAATGGGACCAGTATTAGCTACCGTCCACGGCTATCTTTCTTTCTGAACTAATAAATGATTCACAAATGGCTGTAATGTGAACCATGTGGGGAAAAGAGAGGTTGATTTTCTGTTTCTGGACAACATGATATAATGTGGGTAGAATTACTCTTGATCTTCAAATAGTTTTTTGGGAGTCATTTTTTGAAAGGATTTGGGGCATGACAGGATCTTTTATGAATGTGGTGGATCTCTTCTATGATCTTTCAGGTTCCTGGAAAGATTTTGTACAGTAGTGTTTTATTAATTCTGTCTAGCTAGCTATTTTTTCAGAACACAGTTTCTTAATTAGCAACATCATAAAAGATATTAAAGGGCCCACTCAAGAGTTTCATTAGAAATTGTTCTTTCAACTAATACCTGTTGATGTTAAAGTCAGTGATAGTGTCAGTGGAAGCAATAGCCATGTTGAATTTTTGTCTCCCCCTTTGAGAAAGATAATTTTTCTTCCATGAGTATATTGCCCCTAAGATCTTATACTTTTGGCTGAACAACATGTTTTTCTTGTTACTACCTTCAGGCAAAGTTGTTCCTGTTATCAAAATTTGTGTCTGCTGTCCAGAATCTTCCTGGATCTTTCCAGTATCTTCGTGACATTATTAAGCGAGCCTCTCGAGGGTCATTATTCCTTTTTGTGGACAATGCTCACATTCAAACCAAGAACTTCATAGAAGACTTGATATTCCCTTCACATGATAGCACAGAGCAAGAGGAGTACAAAGAAAACAAATCATTTAGGTTGTATACTACTTATGCAGAACTAAATTCTGATCGTGAGGAAGGTTTAAAATCGGCTGCTATGTGTGAATGGGTGAGTCTTATCAGTTACTGGCTGGACAGGAACCCAATACTGGACTTGAGGGTTAATGTTCATCTGGCTGTCAAAAAGGTGTGAGAGATACAAACAGAAGAAGACAACAGCTACAGCCATAATTAAGTATACCTGATATTTTATAGTTTGTAAAGAGTGTTTTTTATTTTGAATTTTCCCTAAGGGATATATTAATGAAATTTCTATTTATTGAACAGTAATATTTACTTACATTTGTTTAAAATCATTTTTTTTTTCACTGTATTTTGCCTGTAATAGAGATCTGTTTCATGTGCTTTATTTGCCTCAAAGGACCAGTACATGAGGATTCACAGATACAATTGCTATCTCTTTAAAATTCTCATTTGTTAATCTATTAGAAAAGGGAGAGGCTTGGTGTTTTGGGTATCTAGCAAACAAACAAACAAAAAGAAATAAAAACCAATTTCCTAGATAACAATAAGAGACTGGAAAAAAAAAAGCAAAAGAAGGAAAAATGAAAAAAGAGTCAATTGTGATAATCTTCTTACCAGGGAAATCCATCTTGACACAAAATAGTAAAACAAAACTGTTTTATAAAAACATGTGAAGGTTCTAAATTTTTTCTTGGACACAAGCAAGGAAAACTGGACTTATTCCACTAAGGCAAGGGTTTTAAGGTAACCATCCCTAAAGAGATATTTATCCATGCTGTGGAACTTGTTGACACATTATTATTTTTTAATTTATCAAGACAAAACCACCATTGACAATCTTGGGGTTTGTGGTAATATAACCTTTTCAATGTTTCAAGGTGACATAAAAAAATATTGTGTGATTTTACTCTTTGTACATTTTAAATTTCTTTTCAAACTGTAACTGAATCAGTTAACCATTTTGACATGTCTTTGGCATATTTTTTTAGATGTGAGTTACTATCTGTTGGTTTATTTAATGAGTGCATTTTCATGATGTTGTTTTATTTTGTATTTTGGAAAGCAATTTTTGGCAAAAATATGTAAATTAGGCTGGCTCTAGTTACATTGTGCCATGGGCTTTTCTGTTACTTTGTACCTGTTCTTTAGTTGAATCTTATCACCACTTTACTCCCAAACCAAACTTGCACATCCTAAGCAACCAGGTATAGACTTCCTGGTTGTCCAAAATATGGATCCTGCTTTTTATTTGGATAAAGTGTTGTTTGTTGTATAGTTGGTAACTTGTTTTTGTGAGAGATATAAGAACTCTTCCATCCCACTGCTGGATAGCGATTTATCCAGCAAAGATACTCAGCCTGAACAATCAGGACTAGTCTGTATTGGTAGTAGACACATGAATATGTATGCACTTGTGTGTATTCTATTCAGGAGATATTTATTCTGGACTGATTGGTAAAACCCCTTTAGTCAAAGTATTTTTCCTTGCCAAACAAACTGGTTTGGTACCATTAACAGTCCATTTGTGATATGACTCAATCTATATCTGAGCAACATTGCAAGACAATCAGTAATACCTTGTAATGAACTAGCCATGTAAAAATTATAAAAAGCAACAAAAAATCAAAGATTTTACAACTGTGATGTACATGTTTGTACAAAAATTAATAAGAAACTTAAGTGGGTCTTTAGCTGTTCATGTGCGTCAAGTCAAGGATAGTCTGACTAGCACTTTGACCCCCAATAGTGATAACTAGATGAATTATCCCCCAATAGCACTGTCAAACAGACAAAGGACTAGAACTAATGAATTATAAACAGAATATTGTCTTTACATAGCCCTTAATGCGTATGATTAGCCTACAGGTACTGTAAATGTATGACTGTGAGTTAAGGAAATTACATACCAGTAGCTTTAAGACGTCCAGAGGAGAACGTTAAGTTGGGTTAAGATTTCTTTGGAAATTTTCAGAGCAGTTTAATTGACATCATTCCCAGGAGGAAGATGTTCAGTGATAGTTTGTTTTAAAGTGTACATACTAGTTTCATTTCAATTAGAGGTTAATTAAGGAAAAAAAAAAGAATAAAAACATTTATAATCCCTAGAAAAAAATAAAACATTTATTTTGATGTAAATGTAAATTAGAGTATTTAAAAGTACATTAACAGATTAAGATCTTATGCTTTGGTTTGTCATAACGTAATTTCCTTGAAAATCTGAGTTTGATGTTTTAGCTATAAACATGGACATTTGAGAACATGAAAAATATTATGTAGGGATGCTAGTCATTTGTTTTTTTTTTTTTTTTGATGCAGTTCCCTCAAAATTCTCGGTTTTTTTTTCAAAGGTCTTTTGCAGTTAATAATTTTAGTTTTCAATTGTGAATGCAAAAGTAATTGGCAGTAGAACAGCTCCTTGTGATAGTGGGTACCACATGAAGGTACATATACATGAAATTTATTGTCATTGTGATAATCCAATTTGTGATCAGTCTTCTTTGATGATCAAAGTAAGATAAAGAATAATCCTAGGTTGTTTTATTTCCTCAAAAATCTCAAGTGAAAACTAAACACTTTCATACTTACATACATGTCAACCTTCCTCTTTTAGCCATTCATTTTTCTCTTCTTGGGTGAAAGGGTACAGCACAAGGAGCTGTTGTCTTTTAATCCTTTAACTCCCAAGACCTCATTAGTAATTCTCCTTACTGTCTGCCAAATAGTTCTTGTGATGTTAATTTTGAGAATTTGGTAATGCATCAACTAATAATTCCCTAATTAATATTTTTATTTATTCTCATCACTTGTCTCTTTGATATTGTATTGATATTGTAAGGAGAAATTCTGACTTGGTCACTCATGGGAGTTAAAGGGTTAAAATGTTCTAATCAAGGGAATTACTTTATACAGATGGAGTGGAAAATAAGTGAAGTAAACCATTAGAATTTGTTGACACTTGAGTGAGGTGAAGGGTAAAGCCTTTTAATATTTTCTTTTGGTTCTGGGCAACACCTCTGGACTCTTTGGTTGACAATTTTCTTGAGGTTTACTTCGTTACATTTATATGAAAATTGGTAGAGGAGCATTTTTATATACCGGTGGTTACAGTGGTGCAAGTTGTAAAGGATATTGACTTAAAGAAATTAGACTTTCACAGATTTGGCTCTGATATTGTTCATAATTGAAAGCTTTATTTGTTACCAGGCTGGTCCTTTGAGGAGTTTTATCACCTGTAAAAATACAGTTGTTTTATATGCAAGGTGTGGTTTGTCATTTCTTATCACTGAAAGTTAAGGGTTCAAAGAAGTAATCTGAGTGTATGAGTTTACAGGGGCCCAGGATAAGGAACTTTACAAAAGAAGCTGAAATATTTTTTTTTTCACAGATGACGCTGATACAGCAAAAGCGAAAATTTTTGACAGTTTTATTTTACAATTGTAAAGTCTAAGCGATATTGATCCATTTCTCTTGCTGTAGCCATGGCAATAAATTTTAACCTGAATTTCAACTGATGGAGTTACTGATAGAAACCTTACAGGGTTACATAACTCGTATGCTTCAGCAGGAAATTGTCACTGGCCGGACGGGTGTGTGCGGAGATCTTCCTTACGGGGGCGGCACAGTTTTCACTTAGTCAGCAAATGAGCGCCTGCTTGTTTGAGTGATCAATTTTGTCTATCAATTGTTAAAACGAAGATCGGGTTTGAATTCATCCTGGGATCATTTCAGTTGAGGAAATTCTCGAAACTTGACTAATGACATTATTACTTGTAATGTATTATGACATGAGGAGCCGCATGAATTAACCCTTTACACCCTAACATCAGTATGCATATTCTCCACACTGTTCTTTATACATTTTCTACGGTGCTTACAAGGAGAATTTGTTTTCCAATCAAAGGGCTTCTTTCCTGGTGACCATTTCCTTTATTCTCATGACCTTAATGTGTGATTCTGGATTGATGTTGTAGGGAGAAATTAGATGCTAGTCACTCTTAGGGTTTAAAGAGTTAATATTCCCTACGAGCATTGTGAATAACCAATTGAAAGTTTCTAATAAAATCTTACAATGGCACTTTTTCTTCATGAGAACACATTGTTCTTGGGGACGGTAACCTGTTGTTCTGAAAACCAGTTCGGGTTAACAATGTAGTAGTGTTTCTTTCTCTCCAGTGTTGGCTGGAAAAAGCAAGTATCGCGCACGTAGCGTACGTCCTTTGGATGCTTAGACAATAGAGTTGAGGGTCTGGGAGCCACCCTCCCCAGTATGTTCTTATCTGGTGACTGTGAGAACTTGGCGGAGGCTTTTTCACGTGAGGATGTGGTTACGTGGGGGTATTTTTGGGAACCTGTAGCGCTAAGGGAATAAATCATCCTTGAAAGTGGTTGCACTGGTTCTGACGATGAGCTTTCGTGCGATGAACTATCCTGGTCAACTTTCTCACAAGGCGAGCCTCCATTTTTGGGAGTAGAGGCGATAAACCTGCCATCTGTAGGAACGTACGGAAGTTTTGTTGAGTGGTAACCTTTTCCCTCCAAAGAATTGTTGCGACCTTGCACGGAATCTCTAGCACCTCCAATTTTTCGCCCCAGGTATTTTTGTTCGGGTTCGTAACTTGTCATTCTGGCGGCAAACGGTGGTCTGAGATAGGTTAGCTTAGTGGCATCCCCCAATTCATACTTCGAAGCTACTGTGGGCCGCCGAGGTCCGAGCCATGTATATTTCGGCACTTGACTGTACAGGACAGGTGCATTTGAGCGGCAATATCTTGTGTTATACTCGGTTTGAAATGGCTTGGTAAGAAATCTATTGAAGTAGCTTTGATACCCTGGGTAAAGCAACTCCATTTTGTTCCTCTGTTATAGCGGTGATGTGGAGATTTCAGCAGTTCAGCGTTTAGGGAAACCGTCTCAGTTAAGTTTTGTTTTCACTTCTGACACAAGGAGCTGAGGTTGATACCTTTCACAGCTCACACGAAAATTGGTTCAATCTCTAATTCGCAGTTCCAGCTGGTATTCAACACTCAGCCCACAGTTTCAATCACAAAAATGTCGCATTTAAGGATTCAAACAAACTTCAGTTAGAACAATCGGTCTCGAGCTGTTTGAAGACCCAAATGAAAGGAAGAGCCTGTAAAAGACTGACCTACGGTTCTAATGCACTTGCTTTCGGTGCTTAACTTTCTTGTGTCCAAATTGTCAACGAAGGTAGTTGCTATGGATAGTGCATTAACTGTGATAAATTTTTAATAGGAAGCGTCTATTTTGAATACCAATCTCTGTAGGAAATAGTCATGATTCTCGCACGGCATGAATTGGAGACAAAACAATCGTAAACAATTACCATTAGCATGAATTGATAATTATACATATCTGAAATGAATATCATGTGAAGCTGTTTGCTCTACAGATTGATTTTCTCTCTTCATGAGATTAGTCATTTTTTGATAAAAATAACACCTTCACAGTACTTTTGCCGATTCAAAACAATCATACAATTTGTTATACGTTCCTCAGTTCTAAGCGCTCGTGAAAACAGCCTACAGAGGCGCTCAATTTTTGCATAAACGTAACTCCGTGCTATGAATAGCTTGCACAGTGCGGGAAGTCGACTAAACTATTGTTCGTGGTGTAAAAAATAGATTGCATCTTTTCACAATTCGGAGTCTGTGAGGTTTCCATGGTGGGAATGGAGAATGGATAGTTTAAAAGTTGACCACCTTCTTTTCTAATGCGATTGTTTTCCCCTGAAATCTAAACGTTTTTTCCATAGTTCAAGTGATATTTCTTGACAATAAAAATGTCCTTCACTTTTAAGTTTTAGAAAAACATGCAAGTAAATAAAAAATCATATGTGCACTGATGAAAGCTAGAACGTTGGCAGATTTTGAGTTTGGTCGTCAATTGAAAAGATTGATTCCAATCGATCGAGAGCAAAACTGCTTCCTGTCGAAGGGAAATAATTTCGAGTAGCCCTCGTGGTCGATAATAGAAAGAGGAAATCGCTCTTCGCGGTTTAATTGCTTTTCCTCAACCTTCAAATTTAGACCAAGGTCACAAGGCTACGAGCAAAACATAGATGGAAGAAGGACTGTTACGTTTCAGCAAGAGATTGTGATCTCTTGGTTTCAGAAAGACCTTCACACTGCACCTCGAGTTTAAACAAATGTGTATTTTACAGACTCAGATGCTGTAATGACAAAATTGTGACGAAAGCACTCAATTTTCCAAAATGAAAGTGTAAACACTGATTATCATTTTTATAGGTTATGTTAATTTGATAGCAGGGTCGATACTCATTAGTAATTCATCAGTGATTATTGGCCTAAGTCAGACCGAGCTAACTTAACCAAACAAAGTATTCTTGCGTATAAAGTAATTCCTACGCTCGGATACCCAGTCTGGGCTAATGACAAAGAAGCCTCTCGTTGGCTCGTTCGCCGGATGGAAGAAGCACTGTTTGTCAATGTAACGAAATTCTTTCGGATAACGCGAAAGTTCACTCTGCGGTCTTCGTGCCACTAAGCTGTGGGGTCGGTTGAGTAAATCTTTCCTACCAGGTCTTTCGTGCCTCGAGCCTGCCGACATCGGAATCGTAGATTTCCGACCACCGCTTCGACTCAATTCGGAAATGTTGCTGCTGGGTCTTTGAACAGCACTTTTTGCTCTTGCGGTTGGCGATGGCTGTAATCCTTGCAGATTTATTCTGGCAGGATGGTTTCGCCTTTGGTGAAATGGTAATTGAATCACCCGAGAGGTCTCTGGTTTCTGAGCCTCGTCCCATGCAGACATCCTAACACACGGCCTTAATCCTGTTGGAATTCGGATGTTCTGTATTGGGACACGTTCCCCTGTATAATTTGTCGCATATTCACTCTTGTAGGTTAACTTACTGATTGTCTCTTGCAAAAGTCCTGGCTCCTTTCCGTATTTTGCCGGCATTTCGTTATAAAAGTTTTCCAAAGGCAAAGCTGAATGAACGGCTGCTCTTTTTGAGAACACAAAATTGTGGCGTCTTGCTTGAAATTTGGCCGAACTCGGCGCTGTAATTACGTCAGGGAAAGATGTCAAACGACTTGTTAAAACCTTCTTAACGTCTTATCTCTTAAATTCAGGGTATATTGGCTGTGAGCTGTTAATCTCCACTATAAATGGTTTTTCACGTTCAGGACTAATCAGTTGTCCCAAGCTCATTTCTTGGGGTACACAATATTGCGTTACTTGTCGTCAGTAGCAACGCAGATCGTTTACATATTTCATTACTTAGGATAACAACTTTAATTCTTTCCGTTATTGTTATGCAATTACTGCTTTCTTTTCTGGACTCAATCAAACGCTATTGTGCCCAGAGTAAACAAACTAGTCTCTGCAAGGTTTAAAGCTCACATTTCTATCTCTGGCTGGTCTGATCGAATGAATCGAGCGTGTCTTTGCCAGTGTTACTGGAGTTTTTTCAGTCATCGGTGGGTCATCGAAAAGCCAAATTTAAGATCGAGCCTTTTCCTTTTCGAAGTGCTGAGTACCATGACATTACTGCCTTTAAAGAAAACCAACGGACTTAGTGAATGGCTCATTTAGTTTTAAGTTTGTATAGGTTCCATCACGGCCCCAAAGTTCTTCCACCTCAAGCACAAAAATGACCAGAGTTCTCAAATGCGGGTCATAGTTAATCCTCAAAAAGCCGTACTTGTCGCATAAAACAGGAAAGGCACCCCCTCAGTCTCTCGTGTGACATGGGTTTGGCGAATTACGTTCAGCGATTTTAAGAAAAGCTCGAAGAAAGAATAAAAAAATTTGTCAATATTTATTTAAGAGAACCTCCTTACACTGTTACAATAAACACTTCAGAAAACAAGTAACATTTCTTGAAGAGTTCTAAAAGTCACGGTATAAGTCACGGAATAACTGCTCCTAGAAAAAGAAAACAATTTGGGCATCAGTTTTCTGCTGCAGGCAAGGTGATGCAATGGTCCAGATGAAACAGAAGTTACTTGAAGTTTTGTTCTTTATAAGTAAGCGCAGCATTATTATTCGATATTATTCACTACTGCTGGGCTCAAAATAGCTTCTTGTGCTTGAAATTAAATTATTGTGTTTACATTCTTCAATCATTGGTTGTTGATGTGTATGGTTTAAATCCATTTTTATTTATCATATTCTCACGCCTTTTTGCTTTCGGACTGTGCGCTGTAAATGGAACTTTCATCAACTGCTGCTGCTGCATGCAATTCCGACGAATAGTAATAGAAAACACACACTTTGCCCGTCTTAGGCATTCTTACTTATAACAAAATCTTGCTTTCATTGAAAATAGAACGTGCCATTGCAATTCGAAGTTAAAAACTTACGCCAACGTTATTGGATCAAACGATTAATGATTAAAAAGATAGGAGATAGCGAGAGTCCGCGTTGTCTTCAAGAAAATGGATTGTTCTTTCGCACAGACCTCTCTGACACCCAGTCTGGTCTGACCGTAAAATAAGTCCTTTCCTCTTTGGTTCCATTGTAAAACGCGTTGCTATGCAAGAAGACGTAGTCTCCAAGACCTCCACTTCTAGCAGCAGGTACATACCCTGGTTGGAAGCTCAGGCGAGGCTGACCACGAACGTATTCGGGAGGTCGACGATACATGAAACTCGACGCAAGTTTGATGTGGGGTTGAACAAGTTTTACCTTTGGAGTAAAGCTAAAGCGATACTCGGACCTCGAGGGATGTGCTTTGTTAACTGTCATACACAGTAGTGGAGGTAGTTTGACGTTTTCAGGCATAGTATTAGAGATGAGATGATACCTTTGAATTCAATGACCACGCTCCAAATAGTTGACGTTTTGTCAAATCCGTTCGTATTTTGATCGATAAGGAATAGGATCAGCGTTATTCCCAAAATAAACAACACTTCAGGATACTGTCTGTCTTCGTTACAATAAAATGGAACCGTTTTTCCTTATTCTCATTAGACATTCATACCATAATTTTCTATATCAATGTCACTAAACCACCATTACGCAGTCTTCCAAAAATAAACGTTGGTCTCAGTCTGGTCCGTGTGAAGATCAATGGTGTAGGCAGGAAGCCTTTAGTAGACGAGTTGAGTTTTTTGCTTGTTTGCTCATTCAATTTGCTGTAACTTCAGTGAAGTGATTGTACATCGCACGAAAGACGTCTCTAGAGGATACGTTTCATTGTTTGTGTTAAAATCCCTTAATATAATGCTCTTAGAGAGCACAATAATCCATGACAATACCATGGTAATCTCTCTTAGTAGCAGATAGATAAGGTGATCCTGAGGTTTAAAAAAATCATTGATAAAAATTCCGATTTTCCTCTTTAAAAAAATGCACCGCATAATGATTGTAGATATATGAAAATCATATATGTGCATTGCGGTGAAGAAACGAATATAAGGGATCCTCGCAGCTATGAACACTAGTGAACTAGTCATTATGTTTGACCGAATTCCCAGTTGGCTTGTTAGCTCAGTTGGTAGAGCACATCACCGGTATCGCAGAGGTCATAGGTTCAAATCCCGTACGTGCCTGAATTTTTTTCAGGTCTTATTCCAACTACTAGTTCAGTAGTGTTCATAGCTGCGAGGATCCCTAACGTTCGATGCACCATATATTTACTACGCCTTAATTTCCAAAACAATAACTCCTTTTTTGCAGCAAGAATGTTTTGTTTATTCTATTAGCGATAACCATATTATGCTCTAGTCGAGTTGTATTGGGAGAATTGGATTTTCAAAGACCGGCCAACGATTTTAAAATTTTAGTATGTGAAACCCAGATAATTTAGTTTTACACGCTAGATTAGCTGAGAACTGTAACTTCGCAAGTCTTTGAGGTCATTTTCTCCGTAGATCCCACCCTTTCAGTGCTATTTGCCTGGAGCAATAAAAATATAAATGTTTGAAGAAAAAAAGATCAGACGTCTTTTGGATTGAGGCTCAGAAATTTTCTCAATGAGATTTCGCCAAAGTGTGGAATAGAAACAGAGAAATAAGAACATTTTCATCTTGCATGGGAACACTAAAACTCGTTCTGGTATATATCATGTATAAAACCGACGACTTGACTGAAGAGGAGATCTCTTGTAAAAATATGGACTCAATGGTAAAGTATTGGAGCCACACAAGAATTAAAAGTGGCAGAGAAATAGACCCCGAGAATTTATTGATAAGAAAACCAATCCTCATGGTGACAAAGAATATTCTTCAAATAGTCATAGCTGTGATAATCTCAACGAGGGGGCTTTGGGTTTTTGGGGTTTGCGGTTTTGGCCGCAAAAAAAAATTCGGTTTTTCGGTTGTGGTGTTTTTCGTGGTTTGCGGATTTTCCGTTTTTCAGCGTTTGGTTTTCGCTTTTCGTCAACAACACTATCGGGACTTCGGATTCGGTATGCGAACGGGTTCCGGTTTCTCTTCGATCTGAGCAGCAATTTTGCGCCTCCACTGATCTCGAATAGCTGCGAAACCTCTGTATGCTCCATTTGTCACCAATGTTTGGGATCAATTAGGGTTTTGTCAACTGGGATGTGAAAATTTATCGGTTTTAACGATTTTGCAAGCGGTTTTCGGTTTTGACCGATTTTATTTTTGTTTTTGTTTGTTTTTTTTTTGCAGTTTTGGATTATTTTTTCTACGGTTTTGCGGTTTCTAATAAACCCCAATGCCTATCCCCCGCCTCAAGCCAGTACCACACAAATTATCAGAGCTATGAGTCATAGAGAATGGGTCACTCTTCGCAGAATCGTTCTCCCATTTTTTATATTACATGCAGAAATTGCGTGCTCACAGCGTCTCAAGACGACGGTCCATCACGTATCAAGCTACATTTCATATGCAGGGAGACAATTAAGTGTTTTTTTTTCACATTTGAAATCGCTCACAGAAGTATCAATATTAGTTTTTTGGAAGGTTTTATGTTTGCCCGCAACAATTAGCCCTGAAGTCCTGCTTTTGTGTTTGTGTGTTCAAGGACAACCGTATGACTAGCCCCAAATTAAAAAGATTACCACGTTTCTTTGTTCTTTGTATAACCTTGTTTAAAAACGCTTCTTGTGTTGTGCTCTTCACTTGACCTTAGTGGAACAGCTGGTGATAGATTACTTTTTGGAAATTGGCAGACTCACTTGAGAGTGTGTTCCTGTAAGCAAACGGAAGACAAAATGGAGAATTCTCTTTTTTCAGGAAGACTAAAAATCTGGTTTACTAGTTCACCATAAAAATCGTTTCATGAATAAGTATTATTATTTTTTAAATTTTTTTTTCTCATTCCTCACATTTTCACATGTGGCTAATGGTTATTAAACTTTTGTGTTTTACCAAGATAATATCGTATCTTCAAGTCAATAATTTTCGTGATTCTCATTCCTCGTTTGTCATTCACCGATGTAAAGCTAATGAAAGTTGAAGTTACATGTTCATCAGAACGAAAATTTTAATAACAATCATATCACCCGCACATTTGTAAATTGCCAGTGCAATGGCGCATCTTAGCTCTTTTTACTTCGCCACAAATCCTGCCTATGAAATATTAATTCTGAAGATCTCGATGTGCATTTGCGTTATTGAAGCAAATATCTGAGTCCCCAGAATGTCGGCGAGTTCTTCGCTATGACTGTGAACCAAACCGAGTTCCAGATTCATCAGAAAACCGTGATATACTTCACGAATTTGCCATTGTTCAAAATCGTATTAATCTTGGTTAAAATTTCTTAACGACCATTATGCAAGATATTGACAGATGTTCTCACACTGGGACCTTAATTATTTTGAAGCGTTGATGATATAAAACTATTAGAGAAAATTCCAAACACCTTTACTAGCTATTTTTTCACCATGAAAAGATGAACACCCAGCAAAATGAAATCCGATGAGGTGTCCTTTTTCTACACGCAGCATAGGCTACATTTACTACTCTACTCGTAAATTGAGCACGTATATTAGCCAAACCGAACGGTAATTAGTGACTTGTTTGTACATGCATGACAGGTGAAAGTAAATTGCTTGATAAAAAGCGAATACAGATGCAAATAAAAAGATTCTGAGGCTTCGCATCACGTACTTCGCATCGCATCATAATTTGCCATTTACAGTGCCGTGTGGCTGCAACTAAGAAAGAACTCAATCAGACCTTGAGAGATCATCATCAACTGGGGAGTCAAACAGCTAAATTAC